AACCAGTAGCACTTGGCTGTGAGAAAGTTGGCTCCTTTGAAGTATGTGTGGAATGGCCAGAACCGGTCATTTACAAGTGTTTGCCATGGATCAGGTGTGTGGGGCTACAAAGTATACATTTTTAAAATTTCTTGGAGTTCAGGGCCAAATGAGAATGGGGAAAGGGTAAAATTGAAAACATTGTAAATATGACCATGTATGAGGGAGTCTTAATTATGTGGCTGGTTTAAGTTCTGTAGGGCTTTAGGGAGGAGGGAAGGGAGGAGGGCTAAGGAAGTTGGTTTGGTGGTAGTTTGGATGGTGTGTGTGCTTTTACAAGTCAGGTTTTTGGTTTTGCTTGCATTTTACAGTGGAGCTTTGCAGTTTTGATGCTGAATGAATGTTTTGGTGACCCTGGGTGGGGAGTCAAAAGACCATGAGTCTGTTGGTCTTCCCTTCAAAGGAGTGCATATCTTGTTTTCTCATTTGTAAAATTAAGTCGCTTGTACTAACATTTAACAGCAAGCAGCCTGCAAGGGGAATGCTGCCCCCTAGTGGAAAACGTATGGTCCACACTGACAAATAGGCATTGCTTTTATCAAGCTATTGGCAAAACACATCATCCTTCCAGCTGTGAAAGAGAGAAGACAGACTGGAAGAATAATGGCCTACCTTCATCAGATGTTTAGAAGAACACATGAGTCAGATTTTTTATCTGAGAAATTTATGGACAATAATATTCACCTTACATAGGGTATGAGGACTAAATGAGATTACAAGTTATAAAATACATATGTCACATTCTGGTATATACTAATAGGTCTAATTCATTATACTGCCTTCTTCATCCTCTTGCTTAGTTTAGCTGCAGCCTAACTTTTGAGCCTTAAAGTAGCTACTACGTGCCACCCTCCCCCAGCACATGTATGTGTTGGCACACGAGTACATGCATGTACATAAACATGCATGCACATCAGACTGCTTACAGGTAGATACTTGTGGTCTCCTAAACACAGCCTGCACTCTCCTCCCTCTGTGTTTTGATCCACAGGTTCCCCTTGGCCTTGGATGTGTTTCTCTTTCATCTCTTCCAAATTCCTACCCAGCTTGTGAGTCCCAACTCGCCACTTCCTGTTAAGCTTTTCTTCATCCTTTCAGTTGTAGTTAATCTCATGCCTTCTTTTCACTTCACTGTTAATGTGCACCTTTGTTGTAGAAGTTAGTATGTGACGCCTTATATTGTGGTTAGAGCTTTTTGTGTGAGCCTTTCCCAAACCATGAGCTTCTAGGAGCGGACGGCATAATTTCTCCTGGGGCCTTGCACGTAGTAAGCACACAGACAAGGTTGTTAGGAGCTTAAAGTTCCAAACAAAATGAAACAAAAAAACACCCTCTTTACGTTTGTTTTGATTTGATTTCTAGATTTAGATTAAGCTTAGAAATATATTCATTATTGTTGTTTTTTACCATTAAGTATCCGTGTGTTAGATGATGAAATGGCGAGTTGCTTTTAAATATTGTTTTAGTTTCTTGGTGATTCTTTAAGTTTCCTAGATCTTAAATTAATATGAAGAATAAAAATAGTTACTAGGCAGAGATGTTTTTTGGAAAAAGAGACTGTCATCCCACTCATAGAAGTCTGAGAATAATTTACCCAGTTAAGGACAGGATTGAGTAGGAATTTCATTGAGTAATAAAGTCAACTTGGATGACAAGAATTGGGCTGTTTGGTTATGAAAAGTCAGTAGGACCTGTACTAGAAAACGGGTTGGGGAACTGGATGATTCAGTAGACAGTGGCCTGTATGCGGTATGTACTGCTGTGCAGCAGTTAAGAAGGGGGTGAATCTGCAAGCACTTAAGTTTTGGGGAAGATCTTACTAAATAAAAAAACCCAAGCAAGCCATAGAACAGTGTATACATTATAATCCCATTTACAAGTAGTTTTTAATATTTTTCTCTGTGCATTTATATTCACACAAAAGCATAAATCGTGTGTATCTTGTAACAAGGTCTAGAAAGATAATACACCAAGTTCATAACCATGGTTACCTCAGAGAAGGGATGTGTGGATATAAGAATGGAGGAACTATGAAGATGGACTTCCTGTTTTTGTTACCTTTGCTTCTTAATAGTTTAAATTCTGTAGCAGAAGAACATATTTATATGTTGCTTATACAACTAAAAAAGAAAAGAGCCCTGGCTGGTGTGGCTCAGGGGATTGAGCGCTGGCCCGCGAGCCAAGAGGTCGCCGGTTCGATTCCCAGTCAGGACACATGCCTGTGTTGCAGGCCATGTTCCCTTGGGGGTGTGCAAGAGGCAACCAACTGATGTTTCTCTTGCACAACCATGTTTCTCTTCCTCTCTCCCTCCCTCCTCTCCTATCTCTCTGAACATTAATAAATAAAATCTTTAAAAGAAAGAAATGAAACACCAGAAAGGCAGCATTAGGAACAGAATTTTTTTAGGCTCTAAACTACAAAAACAACCTCAGTACCAGTCTTAACTCCATCATCCATTTTCAGTTTTTTGGCCTTTGGGTTACTGTCATTTAAGAATTTTTTTTAAAGTGGGGGAGGGGGTTAGAAGAAATAGTCTTCAGAGTAAATTTTACACTTTTTTCAGAGTAATATTATTTTCACTGGCAGAGGTACAGCCATAGTTTCATTTCCAGTTCCTTTTGCAAGTTTCTGTTTAGGGAACCTCAAATCATTTATCTCTAAAGAATTGTGCCACTGCTTTTATACTGTCTCATTTAGAAAGCTTTGGAGAGGGAAGTATAGACCAGGAGGGAATACGTTAAACAGATTAATGTTCAGTTTACCACATATCTCTTGTATTTGTATCTTTTGCTCTGTGGCTCTGTGTGAAATCAATCATCACACATGTATTCTAGCTTAATGGCACAACCTGGCCTTTGGGGTTTCAGCTAGAATTAGCTCAGTGCATCAACCACTGGTTAAGTGTCATACCCGCTCAGCCTGGCTCTGCACCTGTCAGTCACACCATCACCTCGAGCAGAGCATTTTACAAATAATTGATAAATGTACATACAGTGAATGAAAACTTAGGTGTATCACTACATTTTAAGTACGTACTGACTCAATTTTTATAGCCTAAACTTAACAGCAGTTTCTACTTTTATTTTAAATAAGTTTCGTCTTGTTCACAAGTTCAGTGAATATTACAGATAAGCAAAGGGGGCATTAGAACACTCTTAAACTCTTCCCATTCATTCCATGTTAACTGCTGTGAACATTTTACAGAGACAAAGAATTGTACAGGAAAGCAAATTGACAAGAGAGGAGGAAACGTAGAGAGGTGTATACAGGGTCCAGCAGAAGTAACGCCTGCTTCATCTGGTTGGTCAGGTACATGAATGTCTTGCATGAGGTGCACAGCGATTTGAACATTTCACCTAAAATGTCATATGGTGTGCTTGAGTGTGACTTCATTATGTTACAGAATTACATGCTTATGACTTTGCAATAAACTTTTGCAATAAAAAGGGGGGGAGGCATTATTCGTGCTGGACCCTGTAGGTAACATATGGTGAACCAAGGAGTAAAGAAGCAGATGTAGGAAAAGAGTTTTTGAAGTTTTCTGTATATAGAAAGGTTGAAAAGCACCAATGTGAGGTTTAGGATCTGGAAAGTTCTGGTGGTGGTATAACCTCATGTTAAAGCAAATGATGCTCTGGCTTGGGTAGCTCAGTGGATTGAGTGTGGGCCTGCGAACCAAACTGTTGAAGTTTGATTCCCAGTCAGGGCACATCCTGGGTTGCAGGCGAGGTCCCCAGTGAGGGGCCCACGAGAGGCAACCCCACACGTTGATGTTCCTCTCCCACTCTTTCTCCTTCCCTTCCCTCTCTCTAAAATAAATAAAAATAAATTAAAAAATAAAAAGCAAATGACAATCTAAGATAGGTAAGAAAAACAATTAGAATAAAAAAAATCCTTGCTCTTGTCATATCTTGGAGGTCTCATAGATGTCTAGGTTGAGAAAGGAAGACAGTTAATTTCTCACATGTCAATCTTAAAACAAAATGTAGTGCATTTTTTTTTTTAGCAGACCTAGGCTTCATCTGGACTCTGGAGCTATAAACCTAAGGCTGTTGTGGCATTTAAGTGAGCAAAACACAGTTCTCAAATTTTGTTCTCTGAGTTAATTATCTTAATGTTATAGTTCACAGGTGACAAATACAAGGAGGCCCTAGTGCCGAATCTGTCCCTCCACCTTGTTCTATCTGGCCTGGGACCTTGTTTTTACCTGGTAGCAACACGGAGCTCTTGCTTAACTGTTAAGGAGCAGTTACATGCACACAGTCCCACAGTTGCATTCGGCCCTTTGAAGGCAACCGCAGGCTGATGTGGCCCCGGTGAGGGTGAGTCTGACCTCCTCCCTGCACAGTCATGCCTACGCTGTCATTCCTGTGCACTCGCTGTTGAGAATTTGGCGGCTTTGCTTCTAAAACCACATTTAACCAATATTTTGACTCTCACATTTACTATACTAGTAACACCGTATATTTCCAAGACTTGAGGGGAAGGATGAAGTTCTTTATTAAAGTCAGAAATCTTGGGGAGATGGTTTATCTTCATAGCGTACCACGTTGTAGTACTTCTAAGGTTTTAATCAGAAGAAAATGTAAAAAAGTCTGAGATGGAAACATACAAACATTTGTAGGGTAGGGAAGAAGCCCTAGATTTAAAATATGTTAGAATGATGACAGAAGAGATTTTAAGTTTGGTGGAACTTTTTTAAAAAGTTTTTATTTTTAGAGGGAGAGAAACATTAATGTGTGGTTGCACTCCATTCTGGGGACCTGGCCTGCAACCCAGGCACATGCCCTGACTGGGAATTGAACCAGCAACGCTTTGGTTGGCAGGCCCATGCTCAATCCACTGAGCTATACCAGCCAGGGCTTAAGTTTGGTGAAACTTTTGAAACGACTCGTTGCCTTGTGTCCTTGACCAGAGCAGTTATTTCAGGGAGTGGGTTCATGATTCTCCTCTTTTCCAGATTGCAAAAGTTGAGAAGCTCAAACCTTTAGAGGTGGAGCTGCGACGCCTAGAAGACCTCTCAGAGTCTATCGTTAATGATTTTGCCTACATGAAGAAGCGAGAGGAGGAGATGCGTGACACCAATGGTGAGGCGGGGGCAACTCTTACTTCTCAATAAGTGAACCATTAAGGAGTCAGATCCCAAACTCTAAATTCTGGTGTCCCTTTTCTCAGTTTTGCCAAGGGTGGCAGGGGTGGGAGCAGGGTGTCGGGAAAGATAATTGCTTATTTCACTGTTGCTGCTACAGGTAAAACAAGCTTTGTTAGATTTTTCAAGGGAATAGAAATTTCTTTGTGATATGCAATTGACCATACTCTCCGCTTATTGTGTATCAAATTGGTAGGACTTGATACACAATAAGCACCATAAGTACTTGATACACAAATCTTTTTGTTTTTAAGATTTTATATAATGAAAATTTAAGAAGAAGCTATTTAAAATTCTACTGTTAGGCCTAGGGACAGAATGAAGTTAATTAATTGCCTTTCCTCCCTGGCCACTGGCCATTGTTTAGCCTGCTGAGCCTCATTTCATTACATTTATGCTTTTGTTTTGTTTTTTGTAGAGTCAACAAACACTCGGGTTCTGTACTTCAGCATCTTTTCGATGTTCTGCCTCATTGGACTAGCCACTTGGCAGGTCTTCTACCTTCGTCGATTCTTCAAGGCCAAGAAGTTGATTGAGTAAGAAGGCCTGCTCTCCTCCCACGTTGCCTCTCAGCCAGCAGAACATCCCTGGAGCACGCCTGGCCGAAGGCATGCTACCAGCAGCACCACCAAGGCACACTGGAACTGTCTTGCCAGAACTGATCTTGCTTGGTGTGGGAGGACATGGGTTACCCCAACACCCAACAAGTCATTGAGAGACTTCTTTTTAACTTGATAGCGTTTGGACTGGTTTTGCAATAATAGGACTGTTATTAGAGTCACCTATGACAAAAAGTAGGGGTTACCTAGATAATGCCAAAGCCAGCATTCGAACTGGGTTTCCTCATGTGATCTGGTTGAACCATGTTTTATTTTTTTCTCCCACTTGCTCACTAGCTTGGGCTTCCACCCTGATTCCTTTACCAAGATTCGAATGACCATGTGGAACTTGTTTCATTATAATTGTCCTTTTTCAGATCTGTGTGCCCTTAGCTGAAATGTTTAGGTAGCTTCTGGTGATAGATATTCTTTCATAATTCTGTGTCTCAAAAGGGTGATTTCTATGTGACACATAGAAATGAGCTTTGAAGTATAGATTACTCTTAAAGAAAATTTTATTTTAGAGAATTAAAATAGTTGTGCACAACTGCTTGAATTTTTTCGTGTATTTAGTTCTCCACAGTTCTGTTACATGTGTAGATTCATGTGACCACCACTGCAAAATGCAGCCCAGCTCCATCACATGGATCCCTCGTGCTACCCTTTTACAGCCACCGTCACTGCCCTTCCTTATCCCCAAACCCCCACCCCCGGCAACCACTGATCTGTTTCCCATCTCTCTAATTTTGTCATTGCTAGAACATCACATAAAGGGTATCATACAGTATGTGACCTTTTGATTAACTTTTTCACTCAGCATAATTCCCTTGAAGTACATCCAGGTCGTGGCATGTATCGATAATCAATAGTTTTTTCTCTGTTATTGCTCAGTGGTATTTCATGGTAAGGGTGTACCACTTCAGTTGATCATTCACCCATTGAAGAACATTGGGGTCGTTTTCCAGTTTGGGCCATTAGGAGTAAACCTTCTGTGAATATTCATGTGCAGGTTTTTATGTGAATGTAAATCTCCATTTCTCTGGGATGAATGCTGAAGAGGGCAGTTGCCAGGCTGTGTGGTCAGCACGGTTAGTTTTTTAAGAAACCACCCTACTCTTTCCAGAGTGAGTGTGCCATTTTCTGTCCCCACCAGCAATGTATGACCCATCAGGTGTCTCTGTCCTCTTTAGTATTTGCTGTTACTACTTTTTATTTTAGTCACTCTGATAGATGTGTGTAATGAGACCTCATTATAATTTTTATTTGCCTTTTCCTGATGGCTGACGGTGTTGAACATCTTTTCATGAGCCTGTTTGCCATCTGTGCATCTTCTTCCATGAAATGTCTGTTCATGTCCTTTGCTCATTTTCTGATTATTCTTTATACTGACGAATTTTGAGAGCTCTGTGTGTATCCTCGATACAAGTCCTTTGTCAGATATGTGGTTGCTTGAATTTTTAACAACATCTACCAAGGGGAAAAATCAGTACAATTAGCCAGGTCTTCTTACATGGCCCGTCACTGATTTAATTCTTATCCTTCTGTGTCCCCCTGAGACACATGAGGTATAAAAAACATACACATAAAATCGGGAGGGTCATCATGACTAAATACTTGGGAATACATGTTATAAAGACAAAGGCAAGAATCGCTCTAAGAATAAAAACGTAGATAAAAATGACCATGTTTGGAAACAGTTATAAAAAATACTACCACTTGAAATTTCCCCCACTTCTCCCAGAAAAGGAGGTAGGAATTTGTCCTTTCGTAATCTCTGTTTTAACAACCCTCCTGACTGTCACGGGGCTTGTGTAATTGTGGTGGCAAGAATTACAGGACTTAAGGCCACACAGCTTGCAGTTAAGTGGCACACTGGAATTAACAAGGGAGGTGACTTGGATGAAGTACAAAGGCAGAAGAGGGAGTGAGTTATGTCATCAAAATCTCAGGCTGTTCTTTAATGTTCCGGCTATTGTGAACCCCAAAGCCTTTTTCCCTCTTTTGACTCCCTGTATGAATTTCTCTGGTGTGGCATGAAAGCGGTTCATTAATCTGTGCAACACTGCCACCTGCTGTTAAGAGTTGATACGTGCTGCTGAGAATCCTTGCCATAAAGGCAGCGGGTGTTGGGAAGGTCTGTGTTGTTGCGTATACTGAACCACAGGATACACCAAAGTAGGAAAGAGAATGACCAAATTTGTGGGTTAAAATCAATCCTTAGACGTTTAAAGATGAAATTTTGTACCATTATCCCAATAAGATACATATTTCTGACTGGTGCCTTTCTCCCTTTTCGAAGCAATGAAAACTGCTCAGTTGGTTATGATACTGTGTTCTGACAAAATGTCAATGAAGGAAATAGAAGAGGAGAATATTTTATTTTGCTGATGATTTTGTTCCCAAATGTGACTTTATGAAACTAAAATTCTTTCATGTCCTTTCTTTCTATTCATGCCAAAACTACCAACTCAGACATTTGTGCTTTTGGTTTAAAGTTCATTGGTATTACACCTTGATGTTATCTAAAGAGTAAATTTATTTGCCTTTGATGAAAGGCTAGTGCAAGAGCAAATCAGCTTTAAAAGTGAGAGTGTTGCCTGGTTTCGTCTTGTTTCCGAGCCTATTCAACACGATCTATATGATGCATATGAGAGTGATGCAGTGTAAGAAAGCCGTGTTACACCATTGTCATAAACTCGTCACAAGCCATTTTTCTGCTGTTTAATGAAAAGAGGCATGTGAGATTTATACAGATTCACTTGTGCTGATGGGGATTTTTGTGAAAATTTTTCTCAAATAAAGGCTAGCAGAAACCATTTTAAGTGTGTTTCAGTGACTCTTGAGTACCCCTTTGGATTGGCAGTAATTCCTTCATATTCCTCAGTTTTAACACATGGAAAATTATACTTGATAAAATAAAGAAAAATATGATTATCCATAATTTACTCCAGATGGATAAGGTTTATGTGAGCTAGCAAGTTTATTGTATTTTATATATAAATAAATTACAAATGTACATTCAAATGATTATGCATCTTCAGAAAAAATAAATGAGGATTCTGTAAGCCAGGCAAGAGCTTCTCTTACAAACAGCTAGTGGGATTATAACTACAGAGGGTCTTCTCCTTACCCTCCTTTTTCCAAATACCCCTCCCAGGGCAGACCCCCTCAGGACTTGCTTTTTTCCTCATCACATTATGAAAAAACCCACCCCAGCAAGTAAAGGCCGTTCTCTCTCCTTTATTTGCAGTTGAACATTTTTCATAAAGCTGCTTTCCAAGAGCAGCCTGAAGTGCTTTGCCCAGAAAAACAGGCAATTTGTCAGTGAATCTACACAAAGTAGTGGTTCCCAATATTTGAGTATAAATACTGTAATATCAGAAAAGCCCTGTTTCTTACTGAAGTTGTAGTTTTAGAGAAAATAATATTGATAAATGCAGCAAAACTTTTCTACAGTATCATACTTGTTAAATGGTGTTACATTTTCCAAATTACTTAGTCTGCTCCAGTGATGTCCCCCAAAACATGAGCCCTGGGTATAGTTTTAAATTTGTATACCCCATTAAAAAAGTAGAATTAATTTTAATAATATATTTAGCTTAATACATCCAAAATAGCATTTCAACATGTCAGTATAAATTTTTTTTTCATATAGTCTTTGAAATCCAGTATGCATTTTATAGCTACAGCTTATCTTTCAGACTAGCCATACTTTATCTGTTCAATAGCTGAATGTACCTGGTGGCTGCCGTATCAGACCCTAAAGGTACAGATTTTGCTTTGTACTTTAATCTGTAACTCTATAGGCCCTGGGGATCTGCCATTCATAAGTGGTATCTTGCTATATAACATCGTAATTATTCGCTTGTTAAAATACAACGTAGAAATGCCTTTTTTTTTTTTTACCAAAGGTATTTTAAAATCAGTTACACCTTTGGACCGCTGAGTATTTCTGGACTTATGAATATTCAAAGGTCAGATAGTTTTATTTATATCCATTATAAAGAAGAACTGAGTATGAGTGTTTCTGTTCTATATCCTCTAAGATGGAACAGGACGTTTGTCTGTTAAGCTTATATCAATGCATTATAAATAGAACAATTCACAATATCAGGCTAACCAGGTTATAGAAACTAGTTCTTCATTACAGAAATGCCAAAAAAATGAATCTTTAAGCTTTGACTGAAACCTATTCAATTTCTCTGAATGAAAGTCAACATTTTTAATTTTAAGTAATTGTTTTTCCCATCTTTTAACTCAAGAAAACACTTATTGAATATCCATTCTGTTTAATGTGTTGAGTTAAACTCTGGAGTAGACCCAATAAATAAGCAATATCTGTCCTCAAAGTACTTTCTAATTAATAGGAGGAGGTAATGGAATGGCCTCTATCCAGAATGATCCTGCTTCGTTTAGCCATTCCTGATATAACATTTTGGGTATTCCTCCAGGAAGTCTTCCCTAACCCCACAAGTTTGTCTTGGAAAGATGCCCTCCCTAAATGCCTTTCTAGAAGTCTGTTCTTCCTTCATAATAGCACTATAACATACACAATTACCCTCACAATTGCTTCATTCCCTGTCTGTTCCATGGACTGTGAGCTCCGTAAGAGTAGGAACCATGTTTGTTTTCCTATTGTAACCCAGCATCGGGCACAAGCTGGTACTCAGTGTATGTTGAATGAATAAATTGAAAATTCAAAAATATCTATACAATATAGCTTTCTGGAATGAAACCAACCAAATGAAATTTAATGGCTTATCAGTCTTGCATTTAGATTGAGAAAATGTTATATACATACAAGATAATAGCGACACAATACTCAACAAATCATTTTGAAGTCTGTTAAGATCAAGCACTTTTCAAGGCACTGATGATACGCAGCTGTGAAGGAGAACCCAAAATCCTCTCTTGGAGCTTACATTCTCACGAATGGAAATGGCCAATAAAGGAAACATAATACATGACAGCAATATTTTATAGATAAGCATTGTGAAGGAAATAAAGAGTGATGTGATCTAGCAGATGTGATCAGTGCTACTTTAGATTGATTGGATGTGAAAAAGGTATAGTTAATTATTGTGCAAGCACTGTGTAAGCAGACCACCATTATGAAGGCTGGTACACTAACAGAAATATTGGATCTAGGTCAAAGGAGACAGACCTTTTACTATTCAGACCTGCTGTTATGCACAGAGTATAGGGTACTTGAAAAGGAATGTCGATGAACTGTGAGGTCAGACGAATGCGAAAGCATTAGTTAGCTCTCACACCCCTCACCCCACTCTACCAATTCTCTTCCTCTAATTTGCTATCACTGTCCACCTAGTTAAAAACCTGGAAGTGTCTCCTGGATTCTCACATTTACCTGACCAACCATATCCCAACTGATTGCAAACTTTAAACTTTCTTTGGATGGATTTCTTCAATCTGGACCTTCTCTCCAACAACATTCAGTGCTGCCCCTTTTCTTAGAACACAAGTTGTTTCTTGCCTGGTCTCCCTGCCTCCAGTCCATGTCTTCCACATTGTCATCAATATAATTTTGTTCTTAAGTAAGGTGACCACATTGTTCATTGTATGAGCTGGGCACTTGAGAAGAGATCTGGAGCCTGATTGCTGGCCTTGACTCCCGTTAGGATGGTCACTGATGCGGGCTGTGAAAGAATTCACAAAGGGAAAGAAGTGCAGAAGGTAAAGATTTTTGCTTTGTTTTTTTAGTTTCCCAAGAGAGGGAAAGCACTAGATGTGGAGAAATGCGCCAGCCCTGAGGGATTAGGGCTTTGATTGGGCAACGTGGTGGTTGTAAAGCAGGATGTTTCAGTTAGGTTGAAACCTTTCGGTGCAGAGTCCCATGTTGTGCTCTGTTAGGTCCTGTTTTGTACGCTCTGCACCTTTAGGGCGCTTCCAGTAACTTTCTAGTCATAAAACAATTAGAGTCATGCTTTATGGGGTCCAGTTAACTCCTGCAAAGAGGGCCTGAAAAAGGGGATTCTGTCCTATTAACTCCCAGCTCCCCTTACAAGCTATGTAACACCGAGCAAGTTACTTAACCACTCTCACCTCACTTCCTTCTATAGAATGGGAATAATAGGATTAAGTGAGATGACACAAGAAAACACTTAGAATGGTGCTAGGAACACAACACTCTACAAATATTAGTTGTTATCTCTCTAATGTGGAACATATTCCCAACTTCACAGGTTGAAAAACAAGCTTGGAGATGTGAAGTTGCCCAAGGTCATATAACTGATGGAACACGTTTTTCCACGGTACTGCAATTCTTAGTGGATTATGGTCAGGGAAAATCTTATTGCAGATTCTCCACCCCCAACAAATACAGTGGCACCTGGCTCTCAAAGAACGTTGCATGGTATCACACGGTCAAAGATTTGGAAAGCCACAAGAATGCGAAATATGAAAAAAGAGAAGAGTGTCAGAATTGGCTTAAGACTTTTTGGAGTTGGGTATAAGCGGTAGGAACGTAGGAGGTCACGGGAGAAATAACTGGGCCCATTAAATCTTGAGATGACAGGAGGCAAATATTTCCGCTTACTACAATATCTCTCTAAACAAAGAGCGCTGTGCAATGTTGGAAGGGACTGCTTCCCCAATCACTGCCCGAGGTAGGCCTGGCGCCAAGATCAGACTGGACAAACTCCGGACTTCGAAGCTGCCTTGGGACCTGGCCAGGGATCACGATAGTGAATCCAACGCTCCTACCGGAGCCCTTCGGCCCCGCGCGGTCCCTACCACGCGCCCACTACACCGCCCCCCCCCCCCCCCCACGAGGCCTTACCGGCCAGGCTGGAGAAAAGCAAGCTGAGACCGGGGACCATAACCAGTAGGTCAGCTAAGGCCGAGGAAACCCCCCTGGCCGGAAGCAACCGCATCTGCTTCCGGGTCAGGGGGAAGTTGGCCAGCAGGGAACCTCGCGCGGTCGCGGGGCTGACGGAAACGCGGGCTGGCTTCTCAAGCGACGCGAGTGCCGCGCGGCTAGAGCCACTGCCGACTCGCAGGCTGGTCTCGCGGTCACCGCCATGTCGGTGCTGGGCGAGTATGAGCGACACTGTGATTCGATCAACTCGGACTTTGGGAGCGAGTCCGGGGGTGGCGGGGACTCAGGCCCGGGGCCCAGCGCCAGTCCCGGGCCGCGAGCCGGTGGCGGCGCTCCGGAGCAGGAGGAGCTGCACTACATCCCCATCCGCGTCCTGGGCCGCGGCGCCTTCGGGGAGGCCACGCTGTACCGCCGCACTGAGGTAGTGGCTCCTGGCGCCCGCCGCCTGCCCCTCCTTCGCGGCCCCGTTTTCCCGGCGTCTTGCCCGGTGACCTCACTTAGTTAGTGCTTGGGTGCCCGCGGATTATGTGTCTCAGGGTCCTGTCCACCGCTCCTCCAAGTCACCTGCACTAGGAATTCGTTAGCGTAGTGGTTTTACTAACTGGTCTTTTCTTGTTTGTTTTGTTATTAACCCGAGGAACGGAGCAAGTCAGTGAACCTTCTCTTAGCCTTAGTTTCCCCATCTATAAAATGGGGTTAGTTATTACTGCCTTTAGGGTAATCTTTATTTTAAAGGTTATTTTGAGAATCAAGCTAAAGTGCTTTCTAAAGTGTTGATTACAGTGGTATACGAATGTGACGTGTTATCAACACTTAACTTCCTCTCCTACTGCCTAGCTTTCCAAGGTCAGGGTGGGGAGCATCGGCAAAACTTCAAAATCCCCAGGTCGGTGACAGCTCCGATTTTTTTGCTGTTAAGTTTAGACGTGAACACTCGGAGATTTTTCTGGAAGATAATGGGGAGATCGCCATAGGTTGGTTTCCTCATCAGTGTTTAGTCGCGTTTATGCCTGGGGAATACGTTTTTGGTATATACTAAGCCGTTACCGGTAATTAAAAAAATCCGAGGACATGCTTATTGATTTTAGAGGAAGAGAAGGAGAGAAACATGGAGAAGGATAAAACACCTCCGGCACGCACTCTGACCAGGGACTGAACCCACAACCTAGGCATGTGCCCCATCTATAAAATGGGGTTAGTTATTATTGCCCCATTTTATAGATGGGAAACAGCCTGCAATCATTCCATTTAGGCATCCATGCTCCAACCAGCCGAGCCACACTGCCCAGGACCTAAGCCATTAATTCTGAATTTTGGAGGGCACAAGGACTCCTTCGAGAATCTAATGTAAACATAATCACCCCATCTATATTTGCATATATGCATATTCTTCGAAAAGATTCACGGGATTCACGGATCGCTGACCCTTAAGTTCACAGCCTATGCTGATCTAAAACTCTCTAGTGATGATTCAACTTCCAAAAACTAAGCGTAAACTGATGTTGGTGAGTTTTAAAACTTAAGCTTTAGAATTAGTTAAGCATTTCACCAGATCTTGTCGGGGTTATGAAGGTGATTCATCCCTCAGGGAGCCATTTGGGATTGTGTGTTCCAAGCTAGCAAAGTTTTAAGGCTGAAAGATGGAGAAGAAAAGTGGTTACAAGAGAGTATCTTTGTTCATTTTTTTATAATGTAACTTTTAAAAGGGCATTTGAGAGAGAGAAACATTGATTTGTTGTTCCACTTATTTATGCATTCATTACTTGATTCTTAATATATACCCTGACTGGGGACTCGGAAACCCATAACCTAGGTGTATCTGGGGGACACTGGAACCACCTGGGCCAGGGCCTAAGCTTCCTTTTTTTATCCTAATGCGACATTAATGTAGGATGTTGGAGTTACTGTTAAATGTTGTTTTCTTACTTGTATTCAAAATATGAGAAAGAGATGAGGATTAAGGTTTCTATTTTATAGTTAAAGACACTGAAACAGTACATTTAAGTGGCTTGTTCACTTAGAAGTAAATCTTTGACTAGAACAGTTTTACACCTTGTGCATACCTTTCCCTTATGTTGAACTTGATTACTGAGGTGGTTTTAAGTTACGTTTGATCACACTTCTCCAAAACTGTGTGATATTATCCATGTCACCAAATATTTATTAGAGCTATGAATTTACACACGTTTATATTTCAAGAAGTTTATATTTCAATGGGAAGACAAATTAGCAAACAAATTTAAGTTGTATGTGTATATAAAAGAAAATTTCAGTGCATGAGCTCTGAAAATTAAGGGTATGGTTGCATTGAATGAAAGTACAGCAGAAAGCTCATCAGGACCTTCCCCCCAAAGTTTTAAGGCCTAGCAGAGCCATTCTAAAGGAAAGGGCATTAGGGATGTTCCTGGGCTGGGGAGCACTGTCAGGGAAGAATCAGAGATATAAAAGGGAGTGGATTTGGGGAGCTGCGGGTTAGTTTTCATGAACAGAGAAAAATGTGATACATAAAATTGACAGAAGATAGACTTGCAAAATGGGCAGCCTGAGTTAAGTGAACTCAGAGCCCTTAGATATGACTCACTCAGAAAGGCTAAACAAAAATCACTAGAGAAACCTAAATTTATAAAGTTAAAGGCAAGTTTAAGATTTTCATTTTGCAAGAAACTATGGTCACCCGTAGGTAACTACTCTCCAGTTCTCAATTTCTCTGATATTCTAGCCCTACTACAGTTCTCATCATGACTAACACTGTGTCATAAAGTCCCTCATCAGAATCTTTGAGATCTACTTCCATCCCATATTTTTACCTGGAATTGACATGCAAATTAAGTGTAGCAGCAATGGAACAGCATCTTAATGTTCTACAGTAAATTATGATGCTCAGTTATATGCCGGACCTTTAAAGTTTGTTCATGACCAGAGTCATGAACAGTCTTTGTTTAGACCAGATGGGCGCGTTCAGGGTGGTATGGCCCTAGACTGTTCATGTTTTGTTTAAAGGAAAAAATAAAAGCAGTCAGTCTCTAGCCATCTAGGAAGTTTTCTTTCTAGGTCTACAGATCATGTGTGGATTCATCCGCTGCCAAGCAAGAGGAAAGCCCTGTACCTCTGTTGCTGTGTTGTAGGATGACTCATTGGTTGTATGGAAGGAAGTCGATTTGACCCGACTGTCAGAGAAGGAACGCCGCGATGCCTTAAATGAGATTGTTATTCTGGCACTGCTGCAGCATGACAACATTATTGCCTACTACAATCACTTCATGGACGATACTACCTTGCTGATCGAGCTGGAATATTGTAATGGTAAGGCAGAATTCTGTGGGACTTCCTTCAGCAAGAAAGTCTTGTGCTCACACTCACCTTGAAGGGGCGAAAAAGAAAAGGCATACACAGTAATAAAAACTTTAATCGACTTTCTTGACTTTTAGAGGATTAGTTCAGGCCCTAGAGGGTTTTGAAGTGGTAACACAAAGTAAAGGGAGGGATATTCCCTCACGTACTCAAATTCTGCCTTGTGATTATAGTTCCATCTTCAAATTACTTGTTCAGTTGGATTTTACATTCATTTTTCAAGGTTTCTCTTATAAAAAGATGTGAGTTAGGCATTGGAGAACACATAGTGTGGCTTGGTAAAATATTTAATGAAATCCTATAGGTGATAATGATTTATATTGATTTCAGTGAAAGCTGCCCTATTAAAAAGTGGTCCAAAGATCTAACTGAATGAAAATTATAGCTTAGTAAAACATGGTCTTATTTATCTGGTCTCTGACTTCTTTGGACCGTTTTGCTTGTAGGATAGCAATATGGTCTAGTTGTGAAGAAAATAGACTCTGAACCCACATGCCAAGCTTCACGACTTTTTAACTCCGTAACCTTGCACAAAAAACAGCTTTTCTGTGACTCAGCTTCCTTATTTGAGTATGAGTTTGTTGATAACTTACCTCCTAGGGTTATTGATTAAATGATTGTAAAGTCCCTAGCATCATACTTGGTACATAGCAAATGTTTGACACATTGTACTAGCTACTATCCTTATTGCATAAGAAAATATGCCAATCCCTTTCTTGAGCTGCATGCTAAAGTGGTCCCAGCACATTCTTCACTTAAATCTCTAAGAGAAAGTTCCTAGATTCTAACTTTTCTTGTCTAGACTCCTGTGCCTCGTGATTGTACCTGGTGCTCATCAACCCTAAATGTATAACACTAGAGATTTCTGAAGTAGCGGAAGCCTCAAGTAGTTAACTTCCTTTGTGGTTAGGAGGATGTAGAATAAACGGCATATTTATTGAAACTTCAAGTTACTAAATTACAGGGGGGAAAAGTTGTGAAACCGAGCCAGGGCTAAATTATAAGTTATAGTTGCAGGTAGGAAGTAAATTGACCCATGATCATTTGTAGCCTATATTACTTGATAAAGGGAAGGGAGAAGCAAATTCCAACTTATTCTGTAGGAATGAATTAGTAAAGGGAATAATGCTTAGAAACAGTGTAGGGCAGTGGTTTTCAACCTTTTTCATCTCAGGGCACACACAGACTACGGTGTTTTGCCATATATAATGTGTATCCATGTTTTTGGCCAGACTTTCAGGGAAAAAAAACCTTTCAATTTTTTTATTCAGTTTTTTATTTACTTACATTTAGAAACAAAACCGATTACAGTATTCCAGGGTATTATTTTGCATTTGGATGTTGTCATTGCTTTCTAGAGTTACACCTTTAACTCATAAGCATAGAAGAATTAACATTTATATATATATACGGAATTAGTACTACCCATGTATAATGCACAGCCTTATTTTTCCCTCAAATTTGGGCCAAAAAGTGCGCATTTATATTCAAGACAAAATATGGGTAATTACTAAAATTCTGCAGTGCACCAAAAAAATACATCTCTGTCCAATCCGATAAAAGAAATAGGTGTAATTTTGATTCATTTACATCCGACAGCTATTGTGGTAGCTGTTGTCTTTTTTTTATTTGACAATCTAAGGGAAAAGAGGTCAGTGCCCCTGACTGAATAGTCAGGTATTGCATGTTTTAAAAACTCTTGCCTCAGCACGCTGGTTAGAAATCACTGGCCTGGCATGTTCCCTAAACTTTGGGAAACTTCTTCAGGGGGAAAGAAAAAGAAGCTGATGTACACCCACATATACAAAACACTTTTATAACAGGTGCAACCCAAAAGTTCCAGTAGTCCCACTGAGAGAATTGTTACAAAAATGTTGCAGATCCTTTTAAAAGGAGTTCTAGGAAAGAAAATCACCTGATTTTGAAGACATTCAAGGTAATTTCACTAATAGAGATACTACAGGAATGGTCTTTCATCTTTTCAACATTGTCTCACTTCCTGTTTTTGTATGGAACCTCTTCCATTTAGGGAGAGGGATCTTTGAAGAATATTTTTGATACAGTCCTTGAGAGATGGGAAGGGTTCTGAAACCAGTGAAGAGCCAGGAGGGAAGAAGGCCTTCCCTTTGGAGAGGAAGCAGAATCCCTTCTTTTCCTTGTGTTACTTGTTAAAACCCTGGTAGATGCAGGAGCCCAGCTATGATCTCTATTAAGCAATTCAAACCTATCTCTTGTTTAATTGCAGGAGGGAACCTGTATGACAAAATCCTTCGTCAGAAGGACAAGTTGTTTGAGGAAGAGGTAATTCATATTTCTATGGTAGGAAGCTAGAGTTGTAATGTGTTGCTTTCTGGTTCTGTATTAACTCTTCCAACAATGAAGAGTATTTTTTTTCCTTTTGTTCAGACTCCTTCCAGGCTCTGGTTGATATTCATGAGAAAGGAAACTTCTAACAAGGAAGCTGTCTATAGCTGCTTCCTAAACAGTTTACCTCCACATCATGATTCTCTATGGGCTTTCTTTCCCGGTTCTGTTACTGCATCCTGGTATGCCCAGTTTTCTATACCTTTGCATTCTTCCTGGATTTCTTTCCACAAGCCTGCTTCACCGTACTATATTTTATAATGACCTGCTTTTTCTTTTTACCCTATCACTTTTCTTTGCCTGTTCAACCTACAAGCAAGAGATGTCAAGTCATGTTGAATCATAACCTCTGGTTGCAGCTTCCTTTGTTTTATTTATTAGAGAGAGAGTATTTAAATCAAATTTTTGTTTGTTGGTAGTCCAGATATAATTTATTTTTTCTCTGCAGATGGTGGTGTGGTACCTGTTTCAGATTGTTTCAGCAGTGAGCTGTATCCATAAAGCTGGGATCCTTCATAGGTAATGAGCAGAAGAATATGGGATTGATTCTTCCCTGCCAATCCAACCCACACCTTGGGGGCCTCCTCCCACCGGGACTATTACGTCCTTGATTAAGCAGTCAGGGCTTTTATATTGATATATTTTAGAAAGGGAAGATTGAGTAACAGAGGGTGTTATCTTTTCTTCCCAAAGTGAAGTTAAACCATGTTTGTGATAAGTAGCTAAGTATTGCTCAGTCATTTCTTTTTTTTTTTAAAGACTTTTTATTTGTTTATCTTTAGAGGGGAAGGGAAGGAGAGAGGGAGAGAAACATCAATGTATGGTTGCCTTCGTGCGTCCCCTGCTGGGAATTGGCCTGCAGGGAACCGGCCTGCAACCCAGGCATGTGCCCTGACTGGGAATCGAACCACAATTGTCTGGTTCGCAGGCCCGTGCTCAATCCACTGAGCTACACCAGCCAGGGCTTCAGTCATTTCTTTAAGAGATACTTTAGAGTTTATTTCATTAATTCATCAGTAAACCCTAGAAGCCACTATGAGAACTGGTGTTAGATTGGTTGGACTTCACAATAAATATTTTCTCTGAGCAATAGTAATTGGCAGGTTTTTTTTAAATTTTGTAATTCTTTTAATTTGAATAAAGCTTGTTTATTTTGTATGAATTGTACAATTCTACATCTTCGGGTAGGGGAACAGTTTTCTCTTCATTTCAAGCTGTAGAAGAGAACCGTTAGGAATATTTCCACCTCACTGTGTCCTTGACCATCACTAGAGATTAATGTTAACACACCAGTATTTCTTTTTTCACTGGCTTATTGTCAACACATATTTCGAGGTAGCTTGATTGAATGGCTACTGTTGCATATTACTTTCTTTTAAAAGTTACAAAGAATATTTATTATTTTGATTCTTTCACATCTAGTAAAGGAAGCCAGATTATAAATCAGGCACAGTTTATCTGTTTTATATACGGTCAATTCATCTTTAGGAAAATAGCCAGTGATTTTATTGAGGTGCTCTATACAACCCAGTGGTGTTGGTGCTGGGACAAGTAGCTGCTTCTCTTGCCTTAACAGGTTTGAAATTTTAATACCAACCAAGTGTTAAGATTGTCTTGCTATCATTTCATTCAATGTATAAGTGGTAATTGAAGAGGCAGTGTACCTTATAGGGATTATAATTACCTGGGGCACCACTTTTTTTTTTTGCCTGACCCTCTCAGCTTTTCTTCTCTGCTCCAGTGGTATGGGAGGCATCCCAGTGCGGTGAAGCCCTGGAGGATGAAATTAATTTTCTGCCTCCACACCCCCAAGTCCCTTGTCAGTGTTAAAGGATGTGCGAAAGTGATGACCACTGTTTGGACCCAGGGCTGTCTGAGCAGTGGCAACACACTCGTCTTTATTCTGTACTAATCCTGGGTGTGGTGGGAGATGAGATAAAACAATGGACTATATGGCCTTACTTTGTAGCATCTTTTTATTTTCAGAGATATAAAGACATTAAATATTTTTCTGACCAAGGCAAACCTGATAAAACTTGGAGATTATGGCCTAGCAAAGAAACTTAATTCCGAGTATTCCATGGCTGAGACAGTAAGTATGTGCTGCTTTTGTCTTACTTGTTTCCAGCATCATGAGATACAACTATACTCCCTAAAATCTTGCACCCTTTTTTCAATATTCTTATAGGTTCTCCACACTTATAAAGCAAATCTTCAGGAGTCTTTTTCCTGGGCTTGCTTACAGGCACTTACATACTCAGGTACTCGTTGTCCACATTACAGCTCTGATCTCAAAGCCCTTTCTGACACTTAGTAGAGACTTCTAGAATCTATAGTAGATTTCACGTTCTCTTTTATTTATTATTTGAGCTTATCATGTTAGACATTTCTTTTTTGTTTCCTTTGTGTTTCCCTTGTTTGGAAGCTGTGTATTACAAATAAAGGCTGATGCCCAAAGAACAACTTTTATTATATACAGTCTGAATTGCAGGGCTCCTTTCTTTTTTTAAAGATTTTATTTATTTTATTTTTAGAGAGAGGAGAAGGGAGGGAGAAAGGGAGAGAGAAACATCAATGAGTGGGTGCCTCTTGAGTGCCCCCTGCTGGGAACATGGCCTACAACCCAGGCATGTGCCCTGACAGGGAATCCAACCAGCGACCCTTTGGTTTGCAGGCCAGCACTCAGTCTGCTGAACCACGCCAGCCAGGATGTGGAGCTCCCTTCTCACCTGACCCTGAGAAAGACCATTACATTAGTTCAAGAATAGACATAGTTGACCCTTAAGGACAGTAATCTCATCCTTTTACGGATCATAAAACCCCATTATTACTTTCCTGGTTTCATCATGCTCTGTCCTTAAAAGAACTTGAAAGTTTAATAAAAATTAACTATGTTCTGATCATGTTTTTTGATAATGATGAAATATTCCTACAAGCAATATAGAGACATCCAGGGATGCTGATAGCCCGGGTTGGAATTCTCTCCTTCAGGGACTCAGTCTGCTTGTATGGTTGTGCCACATGGAGCTTCTGAGGAAGCAGTCATGTCTTACGTGGGTTTTTCTCATCAGGAATAATCTGATAAAACCAAGATTTGACTTTTCTTAGCCAGTTAAATGTAAAGAATGAGATGAAAATTTATAAATGTCATGTTAGCCCTCTGAAAATTTCTTAGCTTTCCTGATTAAAGATGGCTACCAGTCTTATTAGAATTTCTGGGGCACTCATTGTTTCTCATCTTGGGACAGATACAACCTTCAGTGTATTTTTATTTCCGAATTCAAGAAATTTTTTTACAATTTGAAAGAAATTTACTAGCTATGTTAGTATTACAGATGTCAAATAGAGCCATTTAAAAAGCTTCATTACTGTACACTCCAGTTAGAACTTTTAACCCCTTTATTTAATTACCTTCTCCCCACTGCCAGTTCTTTTGTTCTTTGGTTTTCTGTTTTCCCTTGGTGAGCTTTTACTAAGTATGTGTTTATCTGTACAAAGTCTTCAGTGGGCCTTGAATGCCTCTGGCCTCTGTGATCCATGAACCACAGAGCTGTTGTGGCTCCCAGACTGACCACAGTGCCTTCTCCCCAGAGCTTGGTCCTTCGTGTGTGGGGCCCAGGAGGTTTAATATGAATGAGATTTCTTCGCATAGTGACATCATCTCAGAAAAACCATTATGGGTTACACTGATGAATGTTTTATGATTATTATCACCAGTTCCTGGAAAATTTAATTTAGTTGTCAAAATATTAATGTGGTTACTTCAAAAAAGAAGTTATTCTTTGGTTGTTTTCTTTGTTGTTTAGCTTGTTGGAACTCCGTATTACATGTCTCCGGAGCTCTGCCAAGGAGTAAAATACAATTTCAAGTCTGATATCTGGGCAGTAGGCTGCGTCATTTTTGAACTGCTTACGCTAAAGAGAACATTTGATGCTACAGTAAGTTGATGTGTTATTCCCACATTGTCCTTGCAGATGGTGCAACTTGATTGAGATAATCAACTTTATTTATCCCAGAGCTTCTGATTTCTTGAACAGAAATCAGCTGTAGGCAAAAATAACAACCAGTATCCTGGCACTGGCTTAGTAGTGTATTATTAGGATACTATAGACCAGATTTATCTCCAACTTGAATTCCCTGTTGAATAATCATAATCAAGTCCAGTAGTTTGAGCAATGTACTTGAATTTGTCAGCTTTAATTTTAAAACTGGCCCTAGAATCTGCTATGTGATGCTACAAATTAGATAAGCCATTTTATTTCTTATGCTTCAAGTACATTATTATTTTTTTTAAGCTAAGGCAAATTAAATAATACTCATGGAAGTGTTTGGATCTTTTATATGAAAAATTACCAGCTCTTATTAAAGATTGTTATTGTTTTATGGGTAACAAATTTCTTTAAATCTTTTTTTTTCTTAAGTAAAGCACTGCTACTCAAACATTAACACACAGGAAATCACCTGGGCATGTTGTTAAAATGCAGACTCTGTTTGAGCAAGTCTGGGGCGGGACCGGGAGCTTCCAGCTAGTGCTGATGCTACTAGTCTGTGGACCACAGTTTGAGTAACAAAAGTGAGTTCATATCCAATCTCCTTTACAAACCATATGTGAGAACTCAGGCAAATCACTTCATCTCTTTGATCCTCTATTTTACTATCTATAACAAAGAAAAAATGTATATTCCTCTCACGGAGATGAAATGCAAGTGTCAAGATAATGCAAATTCAGTAGCCTTTCATGAGACCTGTTTATTTTTCTAAATTCTGAAGTTTATTCTAGCATGTCATCTAATTCTCTTAAATATTGTAGTAGAAGGAAAATAAATTTTGGAGTCAGACTTTGGTTGAAATTATGGCTGCATTTTTTACTATCTGTAGTCTTGGGAAAGTTACATCTCTGAATTGGTAATAATAATAACCTCCTTGTGTGGTGTTTGCAAGGGTTAAAAAAGATCAAATACATATGCCTGCCTAATAACTATTGGTCTCTCTATACAAGTGGTGATAGTATTATGAAAATAATACTCTCTTTATCAGTTGCTGCTTATTATTCACGACCTTGTCTTTTGGAGCATGGTGTCACCTATATAAAATCATTATTAGGATATATAAATTAGGCAAATTGATTGGCAAAGGAGGTACTTAAAGCCAAGAAGCATGGCTAACCTTGCTTTCTTTTGGGGGGGTTCACTTGAAGGGTCAGATTATAATATACTCTCAAGTATCATGCAGTTGGCCACATAGTCACGTCTCCATGTTGGCCAGTGGGCTTCATTCCATCTGAGAGGAGCAGTGCGTCCCTAACAATTTCTTGTTGATGCGTACTAACAGTTATAAAGAGACGTCAGAACTACTGCAGACCTACTGCCACTTCTTTAAGTAATAATCATAGACATCTCAGAGCCCCTACTGGTATATTATAAAGTCATCTTTACAGAACCAAGAACAGTGCAATTCTCATTTTCTTACAGAATCCACTCAACTTGTGTGTTAAGATTGTACAAGGAATCCGGGCCATGGAAGTTGATTCTAGTCAGTACTCCCTGGAATTGATCCAGATGGTGCACGAATGCCTTGACCAGGTAAGTGGGACTTATACTAATTGATCACCGATTTCAGTTTAGTGATTTCTCTTTCAGCTTTAGTGTTTGGAGTGTGAAAAAGGTGAACTGCACAAAAGCACATCCACTTCCCCAAGTGGGATGTATTTGTAGGCACTGGTGATTAATGATAGTTGTGTAGTTTGGCCAACAAATTCTTACTTTATTCTGCTTTGTTCTCTATTAATTTGTGGAATTGTGCTCCATTTTTTATGATCAAGTTTTTTGTAACTTGATTTTATAAAATTATAGTCAGAGGTAATTTAGAGTTCTTAATGTACAGAATGTGTGTAGTTCTAATATCTCATAGTTCGCCTTGCACTATATCTCTGGGTCACTATTATTCAAAATATGGTCCATGAACCACAGGCATGGGGTGGTTTACAAGCAAAATATGAAGACTCCTGGGCCCCACCCAGAGATTCAGGCAGACTGGATCAGAATCTCTGTGGATAAAGCTCAGATTTTTATTTGTGACAGGCACTCCACAGGACTCTTATGTTCTGTATGTATTGGAATTTGAAAGCCACTGCGCAGCTGAGCAAGTGAGGAAGGCACGTTTTCACTCATACACAAGTGTTGATGTTAATGAGATAAATGTGAAGCATGGTGTGTGACATAAGAAATTATGTGTTTTTTTAAACAAAAGGATAATATGCAGTGGTCTTTGAATAGTTACCCAACAGCCTTCTAAGAGGAAGTAAATGCCTTTTTAGATTCCATCTTGTCCATTCCCTTTAAATTAAAACTAGCCCTATTTGTATTTTTAGGATCCTGAGCAGAGACCCACTGCAGATAAACTGCTAGATCGCCCCCTTCTCAGGAAAGGCAGGAGGTAAAGTACAGAAAAGTCACTCTGTTGTGTTTCCGTAGGTGGTGGACTGTTAGAGATCTGATCGGAGTACCACAAAGAGGGTGGCGTTTCCTGACTGGGCCACTCTGGTGCTATTTTCAGCCAACATCTTTGCTTTCATTGTGTGAAAGGAGCTCCTGACTTTCGCCTCCTTAATCTGTGCCATTTTGTTCTAAATTTATATTGATGTGACTGTAGAGTTGGGGCATTAGAGCTTAGTGATTAAGAGAGGACATCTTTAGGTTTGATCTCAGTTCTGTCATTGTATGTGTCAGGTTATTTAACATGCCTGTTCTTAGTTTTCTCCTCCGTAAAGTGAGGGAGAGTGAGGACTGAAGGAGGGCCTGGCACAAAGGTCCCTGGCCAGTAACTGTTGGATAGCAGCGTGGGCCAGGTTCTTTGTTTAAGTGCACTCCTTTAGATGGTAGGTTAGGGTTGGCGAGGTCCTCTTCAGATACTTTTTGCCCATTTCCCAAAGTCAAGCTTGTTTGATTTCTGATAGGTTGTTTCCTGAGGTTTATTCTTGTTAGGAGGCTCTAGAGGTAGGAAGGAGATCTTTTATTCCTTTTTTTTTTATTGTTGTTAAATACAGTTGTCTCCATTTTCCCCGCCCACCCCCACCTCCCACTCTCACCCTCACCTACCCCCCTTTGACTTTGTCCATGAGTCCCTTTATACATGTTCCTTGATGACCCTTCCCCTTCTTTGCCCCATTATCCCTCTCCTCCCTCTCCTCTGGTTACTGTCAGTTTGTTCTTTATTTCAGTGTCTCTGGTTATATTTTGCTTGCTTGTTTGTTTTGTTGATGAGGTTCCATTTATAGGTGAGATCATATGGTATTTCTTTCACCACCTGGCTTATTTCACTTAGCATAATGCTCTCTAGTTCCATCCATGCTGTCCCAAAGGGTAGGAGCTGGAAGGAGGTCCTTTATCCCTCACTTCCTACAGGAGACTTCAGACCCTAACTTAAAGGAAGAGGTGTTCTTTATTCTTCTTAAATGTTCTAGTCTGTATTTCATCCTATTACACTATTTTTGTTTTACACCCCTTCTTCCTCCCATACCAGTTCTTCGTTTTTGTCTCTTCCCAATATTCAAACATTTACTACGCTGTTTTTCAAGTCTTGCCTTTTAGAGACATTAAATAGACACCTAATTCCACAGTCTTTTCTGTTTGTCAGTAACTTTTATTCTGTTGTGTCATTTAATTAATCTTTTTCTGATTCTTTTCTGAAGCAGTGTTTTAGTGCCTAGAATTATGTGTGATACCCAGATACAGCATCGTGACCCTGCATACATGCTCCATGTATATTCAGGCAGTATCACCCTTTGGAGCTGATTACACCTATTGAAAATTTTTATCTAGGAAATTTTTATGTTGGGAAATAAAGAATCACTATTGTAATGTCTCACTTAACTATTTCCACTATTTTTGATTGCAGTTTTTATTGAGGTAATTGTAGATTTGCATGCATAGATTATATAGAACTTTGTACTTTGATGGAAAATTGTAAGATGAAAAGCTTTCCACATAAAGTACAGACACAGGAAGTCACAGGAAATATTCGGGAAACACTAAGTCCTGTTTGGCTGGATTAGTGGTTCTAGTCGCGGGGCTCTTAAGAACAAAACTTCAGAAGCCTTCAAAAAATAGTGATGCCTAAGCGCCACCCCAGGAATTTGGCTATAATCGATTTAGGCAGAATGAGAACTCTGGGCTAAAATGTGGACAGTAAATAGAGGGAAGGAAGGCTGGAAGGATAGGTAGAGAATTTTGAGTGCCAGAGGGATTTGTGCTTATTTCAAGATATTGTACGTAAGTATTGGATATTTATGAGAGGACAGTCTGTGTGATGAGGGGAGTGTCTAGGAGTTAGGTAACAGTACTAACGTCGGTGTTACATTAGTGCAGAACTGGGTAAAGTGTTGGAACTGTGGTGTGACCAATTAGGTGGGAAGCAAAGCTGCCCAGAACTAAGTTGGTGAGACTGGAGAGGAGAGGTGAGTATACAGGGTATCATATAGGTAGAATCTGTAGGACTCGTCGACTGGGAGAATGGGGGTAGGGGTGCAGGTGGCAGTTATAGAATAGGAGAGTCAGAAAGAAAAGTCGTTTGGAAGAAAGATAATGAGCTGAGATTTAGAGACGCTGACTTTGGGAGTCAGCAGGCAGGCTAGATGGAGATGTGGGCAGGTACTTAAAAACATGTGTCAGAGGGCTGAAGGCTCTCTGTTCCAGCCTGGAGCATTTCTCAGAGATAGAGAACTAATGGCCCCAAACTGCTGGCCCCCTGTGTTTAAAGAATTGCCTAAAGCCAGGCTTGTATGTCTGTTTGAGTTTTATCGAGGTACTTTCAAGAAAGTGCTATAATGTAGGAAGTATATGATTTGTAGAGGTTTCAATCTGTGAAATGTATTGATTGAGACACTGGTGCAGTACAGGGCCGGATAACTTTGCTCATCTGTCTTTGCCTTTCTTTTGGTAGAGAGATGGAGGAAAAAGTCACACTGCTTAATGCACCTACAAAGAGACCAAGGTAAATGTTCAAGAGACTCTTAAAAAGTAATATATCTTAAATTACTCTGGGAGATCTTTGTGGGTCTGTGCATTGATTCCAGTTTAGCCTTGGCCTCCTTTCAGAAGCCAACATCTGCTTAAATGTCAGATAGTCGTTTATGAAAAAAGAATGCTATAATGTCACCCTCATGCTAAAGTGGACATCATTACCATGATGCTTGTTGAAAAGCTGGAACGTGTGGATGTTAAATGAATCAGGCTGGAATCTGAACTGGCCAAGCTGTGATGAAGCCCTGCGGCAGGAATTGCAAAGCCAGCAATGATAGAGGGTTGAAATAGGCTGTCAAGAAAGAACATACTTTCTCATACCATAATTGGTAGTTCTTCTTAGGGAATAGACTGGAAGTGTTTTTCTATGATACAGTTTTTATATTAAATGTGCCTTTGTTTGGGGGTTATTGGCAGGTCCAGCACTGTGACCGAAGCACCTATTGCTGTGGTAACATCCCGAACCAGTGAAGTCTATGTTTGGGGCGGTGGAAAATCCACTCCCCAGAAACTGGATGTCATCAAGAGTGGCTGTAGTGCGCGGCAGGTGTGTGCAGGGAATACTCACTTCGCTGTGGTCACAGTGGAAAAGGAACTGTACACCTGGGTGGTAAGTGAAAGTTAAGTACTTCAGAACAATGATGTAAGCATAATTGTTTACTGGACCCAGGAGGTCAAAGTAGTTTTTAGTTGAACATGTGCTGCTGGAGTAGCAGCATGGGGTCATGGAATATAAGCTTCTTTGAGAGCAATGATTTTGTCTTTTCACAGTTCACTGATGGTATGCCCAAAGCCTAGAATGTATTAAGTCTCTTGTAAATGCTGAATGAATGAATTAAAAGAGCCCTAGGTTTGGACTTTGGAGACTGGACTCTCATTTACAGCTGGGTAATTTCAGAAAGTTTCTTAGTCTGTTCTGTTACCATGAGGTTCAGAGCAACTAGTATCTGTGAAATAGCTTTATAAGCAAATGAAGCAGTGTCCTCTGTCAGGAAAATTCCTAGGCCTTCATCAGTAACCGCAGACAGCAAGGTGTTTCTTAGGTAGGATTTTCCTTTGTTCCCCTCTGGATTCCACCCTGTCTCTCACCCTCTTGAACAGATCACCTATATTGCTATTTATTTTATCTCCCACTCATTGCTCATTCACAGTGCAACTTTCATCTTTGTTATTTGATTGAACCTACTCTTAACAAAGTAACTTATCAATTGTGGAAATAAAAGATACTTTTTACAAGCAATTCCCTATCTTACTTGATCTCCCAGCAACATTGGATACAGTGACCACTCTCCTTCTTGAAGCTTTGTCTTCCCTTGGCTCCCAGGAGAGCATGCTTCCTGGACTCTGCTCCTGTCCCTTCACTTGTGCCTTCTCAGGCTCCTTTCTGGCTGCTTTTCCTTTGCCCCAGCTTGTTTTAGGCCCTTGGTTCACTTCCTGAGGGGGCCCACTTTTTCTAGTAATCTCCAATAACTTCTCCATGAGGACCGGCTTTATCCCCAATGTGTGATGAAGTAGAGAAACTCAACTATTTATTGATAGAAAAGATGAATGTATGATGTGATCTCAATCGTTGAGTATTAACTTGTTATTTCATAAAACACTATCCCTTAAAGAACAGCTCCTGGGTGTGCTGCCAGAAGTAGCGTGAAATTAGCACCTTAAAAAACATTTATATAAGAACTTAGAGTTGAATTGCTGAATGAAAACAATTATTTATCTCTATTAAAATGTTGAAAAGTCATTTAAGATTGTTCTGTGTTCTGTAGCAGCCTTTTTGATGGAGTTGGATTCTTTATAACTGCTCCATATTTCAGAGAAACTGGGACCAAAATTTCTAGTACTTCTAGTAAGGATTTTCAGGAGGATGTACTCCTACAGAAAATAAATTAGACTATATAAAATGTTTTTCACTATCACTCTTAAATAAATACATAGTTTATTTCAGACTTCAAAGAAAAAGATAAAATTGGGACTGTCCTTTCAAAGCCTGATGGATGTGAATCTGGATACTTTTTAAACCGTTACCCGCTGGCAGGAGTTTTCTGCTATCTACCATTAAAAGGCTCAATCTCCTCGCCCATTTTTTTTCCATTTCTAAATTTCCCACTGATTCTTTTTTTCTACTGTTTTTCTTAATAAGAAGTTGTATTGAAGTTTAGCTTTTGGCATGAAAATCAAAACTTCACCCGACCTCTTTATTTTATAGAACATGCAAGGGGGCACTAAACTCCATGGACAGCTGGGCCACGGAGACAGAGCCTCCTACCGACAGCCAAAGCATGTGGAGAAGTTGCAAGGCAAGGCCATCCGTCAGGTGTCGTGTGGTGATGATTTCACTGTCTGCGTGACAGGTAAGCCATCAGCAGAAAGCGTCCAGGTGTATTTAATGTGGAGTATCGTACCTAATACTGTGCAGTTTTAGTTGGGATTTTATAACAAAAGATAGTATTCACAGAACAAAAGACAAGGAGGAAATACACACATTAAAACATATTCCATTTGCTGTACTGTTGTGGCGGGTGGTGAGCAGGTGGAAGGCAAGTGAATAACATAGAAGAGGTGGGATGTGCTGAGTCCCAGGTGTGAGGAAAAATAACCTCACCACCGAGTCAGGTGTGGATAACACTAAATCATGAATTAAGAACTCGCATTTAGTTTTGGTCTTGCCAGTACTCATTTTATGATTCCTTAGTGCTTCACTTTTTCTCTATAAAATAGAGATGGCCCTAATAATATTGTAACCCTTTTAAGATGGTAATACTACCACTTTTTAAAACTATTTACTGTAACAGTACATGTGACCCCCTAAATACAAACAACTCTAGACTTCCACAGTTTATCTTTTGTATTTCTCTGATATAATCATCTCATGTGAGATCATTGGCTAGGGTAGTCCTCATTCCAGCCCTGCCCAGCTTTCTGACTGGACAAAATAAATCATTCCTTTGATGAGTTCTGCTTTCCTTCCTTTTGCAGATGAGGGTCAGCTCTATGCCTTTGGATCTGATTATTATGGCTGCATGGGGGTGGACAAGGCTGCTGGCCCTGAAGTGCTAGAACCCATGCAGCTGGACTTCTTCTTGAACAATCCAGTGGAGCAGGTCTCCTGTGGAGATAATCATGTGGTAGTTTTGACACGAAACAAAGAAGTCTATTCTTGGGGCTGTGGCGAATATGGTAGGTGTAGCCTTGTTTGTCCATTCATTCCCAGGCACACAGCCTGCCTTCTGGCTTGTGTGCGTCTAACACATTGTGTAGCCTCTCCTTGAGACGTGTTAATTCAGTAAAGGGGAATCTTATGGAACATTTTCATTGGGAAGGAGGCCCTCATGCTAATGATTTTCCTTCTCATGTGTGTCTCAGGACGACTGGGTTTGGATTCAGAAGAGGATTATTACACACCACAAAAGGTAAAATCAGGAACAGCTTCTTCCTAAAGCCTATCTAGGTCATACAGACTCCCGTAACATGTCCTATTTCCCTGAGTCCTCATAGCCAGGTGTTTACTTCTGAAACATTTCCTATCTGGGATACTGACAATCCTGAGTTAGCACTGTGTGGTCTTGTCATCTGACTAAATTATAAAAAGTTAAGAAAGAGGATACACTCTGGAGTCACATCTTACTTGGGGCTGAGAGCTAAAATTAGCTTGTATAGTGGAAAAAGTCACACCAAGCTAAATGCACTCTGGAAAATTCCTTGGGAACATACTGGAAAACAACATACTAGCCCTTGCTCCAGCACAGCTGTTTTCCCTTCTTGTTGCCCTAGTTGAACACCAGGTGAAATAGTCGTTTGCATTTAGGGGTCATTTTGTGTGAAACAGTACCTCATTACTCTCATCCCTGCAATCTCCGGCATGGGCACAGGAGCGGAACCCCCTGAGGCAGGAGCAGTCACCTCTGTCACACCCGCCCTGGGGCACAGACTTACCCCCTCGGAGGGTGGCTGCAGCCAACTATACCACTTACTATGAACAGTGTTTATTACATTTCGAAAATTAATTTACGTACTTGCGAGGCCATTCTCAGTGCAATTGTCAGCTGTTCCTCTTCTCCTGAAAAGGCCGTGGTAGAAACAGGTTTGAGTTTCAGGTTTCACAGATGCTCCACATAATCTTCCCACCATTCTCCAGCCCCGTCTGGGTAACTGTCCGGCTAGCGCAGAGGGCGGTGAGCGTTTGGAAGTCCCGGCTGGTACCTCAGTTCTCTATGTCCCCACTTACAATGTGACCAGACAGGGAGCTCCACCAGGCTACTGCACTTCTCTGACAACTGCTCTGGGGCCTTCTACCTCAGAGGACAACATCAGCAATGGAGTGAAGCTTCTCCTTTCCCGATGTTTTACGGGAAGTTTTCCGAAGTAGGACCTGTTGCTAAAACAAACCTTGACAGGCTGTTTAGCTAACCTGGACTGCCTTCTTTTATTTTATTTTAAAACTTGAGCTCCTTATTGAAAACAGTAGTGTCTCAGCTGCTGTGCAGATCTGAAGAGCATGGAGCAGTCTGTACTTGCCCTGCAGTCATTCCCTTAAATGTAGAACTGTTGTTTTAAATGACTCAGGATTTTTCCCTAATATGAGTTATGTTTGAGGGGTCTTATCATTTTTTTACAGGTGGATGTTCCCAAGGCCTTGATTATTGTTGCAGTTCAATGTGGCTGTGACGGGACATTTCTGCTGACCCAGTCAGGCAAAGTGCTGGCCTGTGGACTCAATGAGGCCAACAAACTGGGTCTGAATCAGTGTATGTCTGGTATCATCAACCATGAAGTGAGTGCCTCCTTTCCTGGCCTGACCACATTGTCAGAATCTCTCTGAGAATGCTGCTGTCAGTTAGTGACCGTGCAATTTGACTTCATAGTGAGGATATCACAGATATGTTCAGCAAACGAAGCCAGCCACAAAAGAGTCCATACTATATAATTCCAATTATGTGAAATTTAAGAACAGGCAAAATTAACTTAGGATGGTTTAAGTTAAAATAGTGCTTACTTTTGGGAGGAGGGCCGTGGATATTAACAGAAGGGGTGGAAGAGGGAATTCTAGGGCGATGGGAATGGTCTACAACGTGATCAGCGTGGTGGTTTTACTGTTGTGTGCATACAGAAAAATGTATCAAGCTGTATAATTTATAGTAAATAAATTTAAAGTTTATTATACCTCAGTAAATGATTACAAAGAATCAAGTGATGGAATTCAGGTTCTGCCTTATTGCTGAAATAGGTATAAGAAAATTAGCCATTATGAAAGAACTGTATTTCTTTGTATCATCTCTCTGGAGAATTTTATAGATTTATTGTTCCCAAATCACTGGTCCTCTACAGGCTTATTAAATGTAATTACCATTCAGCTCCTTTAGCGATGTCATGAAATTTACCACTGATACAAATTTTAGTCTCCTATTTGTATATGATGTGTGTTTATCACTTTCTATAGAATCAAGCCCTGGCTGGTGTGGCTCAGTAGATTGAGCACCAGCCGTGGGTTCAATTCCCTGTCAGGGCACATGCCTGGGTTTCGCACCAGGTCCCCAGTTGGGGGCGTGTGAGAAGTAGTTGATCAGTGTTTCTCTCTCACCTCGATGTTCCCTTTCTCCCTCCCTTCCCCTCTGTCTAAAAATAAATAAATCTTTTTAAAAAAAGAATCAAAATAAGAGATAAAAGTTTACCAACTCAATGGAAAATATAAGTATTAATTTTTAAAGCAGTCTCTGAAGTAGTGATTCTCAAATTCAGGGCCAGCCTGGGAGAGTGTGTGGTTTGAAAAGGCATATATTCAGTATTACCATTACAGTAGTTCCCCTTTATCTGAGGTTTCACTTTCCGAGGTTTTGGTTAACCCAGTCAGCCACAGTCCAAAAATATTAAATGAAAATATCCAGAAATAAATAATTCATAAATTTCAAATTGCTCTCGCTTCTGAATAGCATGAAGAAATCTCACATATTCCCATGATTTGCTTAAAAGGCCTTTCGATCGCTGTGACAACATTCTTAGCCTGTTCCCCGCAGTGTTTCACCGCATGAGTCTCTACTTTTGTTTGACCTTTTTCCAGGCGTACCGAGAAGTTTCCTACACAACCTCCTTCACGTTGGCCAAACAGTTGTCCTTTTATAAGATCCGTACCATTGCCCCAGGCAAGACTCACACAGCTGCCATTGATGGTGAGTTGGTTTACAACTGTATACACAGGCCTTAGTAGCTCAGGCTGTTTTCCTATCAAGTGTAAGCTTTTCTAAGCAATATATACATTCTTCTGATTTTTCCCTAGCATCCAGTATTATTAACAAATTAGGCATTCAAGTAGATGTTTATTGATAATTGTTATAAATGTATAATCATACACGCCTTAATGAGAGTGCCACACCTATAATTCCAGACAACTGCTGTTTTAATTAGTATCTTCTGTAAGTTTTCTAAGTTAGGTAGTACTGATTTCCTACATTTAAAATACAGTATTAGAGAGAAAATACAATATTGGGTCACTTCTGGGCTCTAATTGGTTGCGGTTCTTTATAGCCTAGCTGCCCTTAGGTCCGGATCCCGTGGCGAGCTTCAGGTTTGTGTACGAGCTCTTTAACAGCTGGAGGCTAGTCCATGGAGCTCTGCATTGGCTGCTTTTTCTCTCTGTCCCATGGCCCATTTGTGTCTGGTTATTTACTTTTGCTTCTTTCTCAGAGCGAGGCCGGCTGCTGACCTTTGGCTGCAACAAGTGTGGACAGCTGGGTGTTGGGAATTATAAAAAGCGCTTAGGAATCAACCTGCTGGGGGGACCCCTAGGTGGGAAGCAAGTGATCAGAGTCTCCTGCGGTGATGAGTTTACCATCGCGGCCACTGATGGTGAGTCTGTACACATCCTTCCAAGCTTTTTGGATAAATGTCTGCGTTTTAATTTTTGTCTGGAAAAGAGCTGGACTGGTTATTTGTGTGGCTGGATCATGTGGTTGCCTCTGGTGTCAAACCGGCGGTCAGTTGTGCACGTGGAGCTTCATTAACTTCTCACACGTTCAGCATGACGGTCGCTTTAGAAAGATCAGATTTCTTGATAATGGCAGTTTATATTCTAAGTTCCTACTTTTTTTACTTTAACTGTTTTGGTAAAATGTTTTAACAATTATTAAATTCTAGCCCTAGCCAGGTAGATTAGTTGGTTAGAGTGTTGTCCCCATACGCCAAGTTTGCAGGTTCAATCCCCCATCAGGGCACATAAAAGAAGCAACCAGTGAATGAGTAAATAAGTGGAACAACAAATCAGTGGGTTTTTTTCTCTCCTCCTTCCTTTCTCTCTCTAGAATGAGTAAATAAATTTTCTTTAAAAGAATTATTAATACATACACATACATACCCAAAACCCGCCCACCCTCTGTTCAGCACTGTGCGGGTTTCAATAAAAGTTGGCTAGGTGGCTAGAGAAGAGAACAGAATTTGCCCTTGCTCCCGGATTAGGGTCAGCTGCACTGCAGTGGTGTCCTTAGGAATAGCTGAGGCTTGAAGGATTGCATACAGTGTTTCTTGGCTTTCTGAATTGCTCTGACTGAATTTTCTTCTTTCTTCTCATGCCTGTTTATTCCCTGTGGCATCTTCTTGCTCCTGTTACCACTTTCCTTTTGTACTGTCACATCTGCGAGTCTTCATTTCCTTCCCTCCTCCTTCTGCTTTTTCTTCTCTTTTTCTCTCTTCCTGCATCGCATGCTGAACATTTTTTATTTGTGTAGCTGCTCCTTTCTTGTGACTGGTGAACAACAAATTACATTGCATCTTCTTCTCTTTTGACTCTGTTGCTCGTGCTCTGAGATGTCTTTGTTTTCTTCTGGTCTACCTGAAGGACACACGAGGGACCCAGGGGTAGTGTCAGATAAGCTATCTGTTACTGTATTTAGTTAAGTGAACAGCTTTCAGTGTGGTACATTAGCCTGTGTTTGTCCCAAAACAAGAGGTGTTAAGAAGCAAACGGTTTACGTTGGACTGGATAAATGGAAATAAATGTTACCTAGAAAGACAGGGTCAGAGTGTCACTAAGGATTAAATTTAGGTTAGTAGCACTTTCTGATCAGACATCAAAGAGGTAATGTTTCTTTAATAGATCTGTGTATTTCATGAGTTAAACTTCAGAACAAGGGGGATAGAATAGGATTCTGTGGCTGGACCTGTTATTTCTTAATCAACATTCCTATACTCTTCTAAACTGTATTTATTTGCCTCATTCACACAGCAGATAAACTCAGTGCCTGCTGTGCTCCAGGTTCTCGTTTAGGCTCTGGGAATGTAGAAGAGCATCTCAGAAAGACCCGTGAAGGAACTCGCAGTCTAGTAGTGTAGAAGAGATGCACATATAAACAGTAGACAGGCAGCAGGTAGGTCAGGTGCCAGTGGCAGTATCGAACTCCTCTAAGCCCTGGAGTGCCCAGGGCTCAATCTTTCTATCCCGTCACTGTCTCCCTTTACTCCCTAAGCAAGCTGATGGCTTTATATACTGCCCCTGACCTATGTACTCACTCAACAGCCCCTCAACTTAAGATACCTAAAGATAGGGTGGCTCTGTACTAGCTTGGTTTTCCTGGATCGGTCCTGATTCATGCCTGTTGTCCTGGTTAATCATTAATAGCACCCCCCTTTTCAATCATAAACATCCTTATTTGGATAAGAAGTTACAGGTATCTCAAACAAACTTAATATATTCAAAATCAAACTTCTGATTTTCTGTGCAGACCTGTTCTGCCTGCACCCCTCCCGTCTCAGTAAACGGCAGTTCCACCCTATACCCTGTATCTTCTGTCAGCAAACCTATTGATTGTCTGCAGAATGTGTTCAACCACATCTCAGCATCTACTACTACAGTTGGTCTCTCTGCCTCCACCTTTGGTCCCCTGCAGTTAGTTCTCCTCATGATATCCTGCTGGATTGTTTAAGTACCCACTGTTCAGATCCTCTAATAGTTTCTGTCTCAATCAATAAAAATTAAAGTCATTACAGTGGCCTGCAGAAAGAAGCCCTACATGACCAGGACCCCAGCTACCTTCTAACCTCTTTTACCACTGTCCCCTCTCTTACTCGGCTGCAGCTTCAGGGGCCTTCTTGTCCCTTGTTTGTGATACTTGCTTTACCTGCAGTACCTCCGCACTTGCTGTTTCCTCTGCTTGGAAGGCCCTTGGATATCCACATGGCTTGCTCTCTCTCTCACTTCATACAGGTTTCTGCCAAGTGTCAACAAGTACTTCTCTGATTACCCCACTATTTTTTATTTCTGCAACTTTACCATTTATCTTCCTTCATAGCACCAACTGCTTCCTGAAGTATTAGGTACTTTTATTAGTCTCATCTCACTAGAATGTCAGTTTCACAGGGTGGCAGCTGCTTTGCTCACTGTTCTCTCCCCAGCATCACAAGCAGTGCCTTTCATGACATAGGTGGTCAGTAAATGGTTGAATGAATGAATGAGTGAATGGCAGTATGTAGGAGCAGTGGTGGTTTTTACCTTGGTGGGATCAGGAATTGTTTAGGCTTATATAGGGGAATAAACAGTTTTCCCTCATTTTGCATATAGTGGGAAATCTTTTTAGCTCTATGGCATAGAGATGGGAAACCCAAAGAGTTGGAATGCCAGTGTTCTGTTAAGCTATCTGCTCTTTAATGTTTTTCCCCCTTAGATAATCACATTTTTGCCTGGGGCAATGGTGGTAATGGCCGCCTGGCAATGACTCCTGCAGAGAGAACGCATGGCTCCGATATCTGTACTTCGTGGCCTCGGCCTATTTTTGGATCTCTGCACCATGTCCCGGATCTGTCTTGCCGTGGCTGGCACACCATTCTCATTGTTGGTAAGGGTTTCATTTGTGTGGGTTGAGGTGGCTTTGACAGAGGATAGACCTGTACCTAAGGTAGTGATAGCTCCATTCTCGGAAACAGAAGTGTTCTGAAGAAAAGGGGCCACTTCTGTTAGTCTTAAAATGTCAGCAGTGCCTTGCCTTGTGGTAGGAATAGAACATCGTCACTTCCTGAGCTTTGTCATTGGCCGCCTCTTGATTTTTTTAACATGACTTTGTTCTCTGCCTCCCTTGACATTGAATTTGTCACTTTTAGTCCTCTACTAATTAATTTGTCAATGTTCATGCTGTTGTGAGAAACATTTAGTACATCTTTACAAAGAAACTGAATCATAACCGCTTTCTGCATAAAGATTGCTTTGTCGTGAACTAAATCAAAGGCTTACTGTAGGATTTACAAGTTTGTTCTCTTAGATCAGTGCTTCACAACCTTGGCTGCACATTGGGTTTCCTGAGGAGCTTTTAGAACTCTCTGCCCATTTAAATCCAAATCCTTTGGACCTAGGCATTGTTACTTTCTGAAGCTTTCTAGTGATTCCAAAGAACAGTTAAGGAGAATCACTGCTTTACCTAGTGAATATAGAGTAGCTAGTGGTGCTTTCCTTATGATAGTCATGCCTAAAACTAATTAATCTGTCTGGAGTGAGGGATAGTCATTATTCCCTAGATTAACTCCCCCTCCTAGCCCTTCTCACTTTTTCTGCCTATAGCTGCATATGATACTTAACTACTGAATATTTTCCCTCAGAGAAAGTATTGAATTCTAAGACCATCCGTTCCAATAGCAGCGGCTTATCCATTGGAACTGGTAAGTAGCAGTGTCTTAGGTACCACTGGTTTTGTGAGGGGTTGGATTCCATGCAGTCTCCTCTCCCCCCACCCCCCAAGAAAAAAGGAAATAGGAAATACCTTTGGGAAATGAGGAATACAGTGATCAAGGGAGAGGATCATATTTTGGTGGATTTCACAATAAGTTATGACTTTTTAACATTGTGGTTAGAGTAAGAGCACATCTTTGCCATCACACATATGGAAGTAATTAAGTGGCTTACCCAATATTGTAATGCGACTAATGTATTGTTCCTTTCCTTACTATGCTTAGGGGCTATGGATTCTGTCTCCCCTATACTTCCTTGGTATTCCTAGGGGTATTCGAGTGTACAGAAATAGTTCTTCAAAACAGGCTCGCAAAATTAAAAGTTAGGTAAACTTCCAAGTGGTTAGGAGAATTAGCCCAAAGCTGTCTGGTAGTTTTCCGTCGGCTTTTTTCTTTCTGGTGCTGTTATTTGGGGCAGTTCCAGGAAACTGGGTTTGTGTTCCTTTTTGGTTTTCCATTTACTAGAGTACCTGTAGTCTGAGGTCTCAGAACCTGGGTTCTGATATTTTGTGGAATCAAACTGATAAAAACCCAGAATAAAAGCAGATTAATCCTCCAAAAAGAAATAGTTGAAAATCTGATCTAGACTTGTTGAGCTTGAATTTATATACACATTCACACACACACAACACCTCTTATTAGTTTCCTTTGGTAATTAATTCCTCAGGATATATTTGTGCATATTAATAATACCTGTCAGAAATAATACAATATCTTTTTGCTAAAGCACAGCTATTCTACTAGGGCTTTGTTTTGCTGGAACAATATTTAAAGGAAAAAACATAAGATTAAAAGCACATGTTCATTTGCTAGAAAACATAAACTCTGTAAGGGTGGGGATTTTTCAGGCTTTTTGTTCATTAATTTTATTCACGTTGCCAGAAGAATGCCTGGCAGTTGGTAGATGCTCGTCAGTATTTGTTAGTTGAATATGTTAGGACCATCCCGTAGTTACACAAGAGTAAAAATGAACATCTACAAATACTTACATAATGTAAAATGTAAAAAACAAGCTACAACAGACTACATGCCTTTTATAAAGTTCAAAATCCAGCAAAATAAATAATACATTGCTTACAGATACATAAATATGCAATAAAGTTTTTTTTTAAGGAAACAATGATAAATCTAAAATTAAATAATGGTCACATCTAGGTAGGAGGCCAAAGAAGGAATTGACAAAGTGGGTTGAGCTGGGAGGCAGTGTTCTAGTTCAGCACGGTCCCTTTGCTCTTTCTGCAACAGTGGAAATGCTCTGTATTTGTGCTGCCCAATGTCATAGCCACTAGCCACAAGTGGCACTTAAAAAATGGCCCAGTATTCATACATGGCTACCATATTGGAAAGTGCCATTTTAATTCTTGTTGTTTTTCATTTTTGATTTTTTTTTTTGAAGATTTTATTTTTAGAGAGATGGGAAAGGAGGAAGAAAGAGAGTGAGAGAAACATCAGTTGCCTTTGCATGTCCCCATCAGGGACCTGGCCCACAACCCAGGCACGTGCCCTGAATCAACTGGCGACCTTCTGGTTCTCAGACCAGCGCTCATTCCACCGAGCCACACCAGCCAGGGCTCCATTCTGGTTCTTCAAGTGGTAGATTCATGGGTATTTATTTTGTTAGGCATCAGAACTTACACATATGTTAAAAATAGTCTTTATATATATATATCTCAAATGTAACATAATTCTTAAAAGCCATTTATAGCACAGAGCAAGCTGCAGGCTCACTGTGGCATCTGCAGTGGGCTCACATCTGGCACAAGAGAGTGTAACATGCAACTATTTTCTTTTTAGTTTTGGCAAATTAATATTTTAAATGGTATTTTCCTTTGGCCCATAGTAAAATGCAGTTTCATTTCTTGACGATACATCAGCTAGTCTAAATTAAGGTAACTTGGAATATGTTCATGATATGAAAGAGCCAGCCATCATATTTTTAAATTCTTATAAATAGTTACCAAAGAATTTAATTACTGTAATGGTTGAAGACTTCTCCATTCAGATGTTTCCCCAGAAAGGGAGTTGGTGGTAAGTTTATGTGGCAACTTTAAGTGGTTTGGGGCCCAGATGTGAAAGAGATTTGTATATACGATGAACCTCTGGAGGATGCTGGAGTCTGGACCAGTCCATCAAAGTGTGGGTGCTAGATTTGGTGAGCTGTGGTTGGGGTGATCGTTTAGCTGTGCTTTGGAGCATTGATCACCTGCTGCGAACATAGGGATAGCAAGGCTCAGAAAGTAGAAGTGAATTACCATCATGAAGATACGGAACTAAAAAATTTAGTCCCAAATATCTGACTTCACTGTTGCTACTCCACTTCATGCAACTGTAGTGACCTCACTCAGGGTCAGCGGGGCTATAAGATGGTAACTCTTTCTTGCTGCATAGCAAAGTTGTGTATTTCTGTGCTGTGTATCTGTCAGTGGTTCAGAGCTCTAGCCCGGGAGGAGGAGGAGGCGGAGGAGGCGGCGGCGGTGGTGGGGGAGAAGAGGAGGACAGTCAGCAGGAATCTGAAACCCCTGATCCAAGTGGAGGCTTCCGAGGAACAATGGAAGCAGACCGAGGAATGGAAGGTTTAGTCAGTCCCACGGAGGCCATGGGGATCAGTAGTGGGGCCAGCAGCTCCTGTCCTGGCTGGCTTCGAAAGGTAATTCTTTTGGCAGAGGTGCCTTAGATAAAGTATCATGTCCTTTGCAGGGACTAGAAAGGAGCTGTCAGAATCTGTCTGTCATCCATGTCCCATTCAAGTGTTTTGCAGCAGGGACCTGGGTTTCTGATTTCTACCTGGAACAAAATCAAATCTCAAATCCCTTTTTTCTTTCTGACAAGAAGAGATACAAAATGTGTTCATACTTGTATTATTTAAATGAATGTAAATTAATACAGCCTTCCTTCAAGGCAATTTTTGTAATGCATGTGTGCAAAGATGAAGCATATGATTCTCTACTGTGGATTGTAGAAGTGGAATACTGGGACAGTTGGAATGCTTTACAATAGAGAAGTGGATTATGAGAGTCAAAGTGCAGACAGTAAAAATGTTTTTTTATATGGAAAGTTGGTTACAACATATGGCTGTGCAAAAAAGGATGGAATAATACCTGTGCAGTATGATCCCGTTCTTTTAGCAAATATGTAATACATAGAAGAATGTCTGCTATGAAGACTATGTATTATTTTAACAGTGGTTATCTATGAGTGATGGAATTGCTGGTGATTTTTATAATCCCCCTTTGCCCATCTGTATTTTCTCATTTCTAAAGTGAACATTTATAGTCCGTGAAATTTAAAATTTTTTACTTAAAAAAAAAAGATGATCTCTCTAATTTACAGCTCCTTGTATAATAACTTGATAACCAAACTTGATAGCCATGTAGGAGGATGAATGGGGAAAACAGCACACCGAATACTACATAAAGCCTCAGCCTCAGCCTTTAGAAGCCTGGCAGTCAGCCTGACTAGCGTCACCCTAGAGCTTCCCAGCTTACTGAATAGCCTACGTAGAATAAGTGTATTGGGGACACATGCCAGACACTCAGAAGTCTGGACCATAATTTGAATTCTTACCACTCTGATTCCTCTGAGGAAGGTCTGGCAGGTTGCGGACAGGCAGGGTGAGGTGTGTTGTGCCCATAACTGTCCTGTCCCACCAGAGGGTGCTCGTGTCACAACAGAGTGAAAGCTATATAGCAAGAAGGAAATTTGGGAGAAAGTAGATGACTCAGACAGAACTGATGAGATTTTGTCTGTTAAATGCAGGAGCTGGAAAATGCAGAATTCATTCCCATGCCTGACAGCCCATCTCCCCCAAGTGCAGTTTTTTCAGAATCTGAGAAGGATACCCTGCCCTATGAAGAGCTGCAAGGACTCAAGGTGGCCTCCGAAGCACCTTCAGAACACAAGCCTCCAGAGGGAGCCTGGGTAACTGAGCTTTTTGCCTTTGAATCTCAAGTAGGTAAACAGTGGCTGTGAGCTCTGCCCAGTTCTCTTGGCCTCACCGTCTCCTCCTCTAGCTTCACTGGTCTCCTAGCTGCCCTGTATCAATTTATTATTCTGCTTGGTAGTACTTAAAGCTATCCAGAAGGATAGACTGATTGTCTTGGAAAAGTATTAGTCCTTTCACATTGCTAACAGGCTAACACTTTTCTATAGCAGAGAACTGTCTTTCTTTTCTCTCTGCCTCAAAAGTACCAAAATGGAAATTCCAAAATGCAAGTCCAGTTTTTCGTGACACTGTTAGAGTGGGTTGGAGGCTTTAAATTCAGCGTGGGGCAAAAAGAGGTTTACAGTCATGAGTATGTGAAATAGAGTTTTTTCTTGTATTATTTAGTAACTATTGTATTATTTTTCATGCAAATAACTACAAACTTTGCTTAGCTCTGTATAAGTAGGAATGTAGTCCAATGAGTGAACAATACGTGTATACCTAATCTTGACAGAAATCAGGAGTCACCAAACTTTTAGGGCCACATAGTAATTATTTTAGGTTTTGTGGACTATACAGTCTCTTTAGTAATTACACCCACTAACATTGTAGCACAAAAGCAGCCATAGATAATACATAATGAATGGGCATGCTTGTGTTCCACTAAAACTTGATTTACAAAAACAGGCGGTAGACCTGATTTGCCCTGTATCTTGTCTCACTCATACTGACCCTTGCTGTAAACAGTGTGCAATAGAAGAAAGGAGAAAAGTTCTGACTAGGAAAATTGAAAAACACCCCAGAAGAGGTAATAATACAGCCTTTGAAATGTCAGGGTGAACTTTGTAACTCCTTTGGCAGTCCTGTTTACTGAACATCTCTCATCTCTTCGAAAGTGCGATTCACTGCATGTCATGAACACTGACCCGTCGGACCACATTCTCTCACTGTAATCAGAAAGACTTGTTCCACTTCAGCATTTTTAATGGGGAGATAGTGGTACAATTTAAAATTTTTTTTACAAAGCCCTCCAAAATAGATGATTGTTCTTTTATTAGCATAATGGAGACTAAAACAATTCTCTTGCCCTACTATGTCAGAGCCAGGTTCTCTTGTAATCCTAGCTGTTTTCTGTTTTTCTTGTATTTTCCTCATATGTATATATGTTTTATCTCATTATTTCTAAAGTCAAGTCTGGCAGCACATATAGGATATTTGTGCTGGGGAGCTGTGGCATCCAAGCAGAACCCCTTGTGACCCCTCTCTCTCCACTCTGCAGCCACCTCGGCTGAGCCCTGCGGGAGCGTGCACTGGGAAGGGCGCGCCATCCACTCCGGGCTGTGCATGCAGCGCTCTGCAGGTGGAGGTGGAAAGATTGCAGGGCCTGCTGTTCAAGTGTCTGGCTGAACAACAGAAGCTACAGCAAGAAAACTTCCAGATTTTTACCCAACTACAGAAGCTGAACAACAAATTAGAAGGAGGGCAGCAGGTGAGAGCATTAAAAGAATAATTCAATTTCAGATTCTGTTTTGAAAAATCACAGAAACAAAGCACTAATACTTACTCCTTTGCAAGTACTTACCTTTTAATGATGTAACTTTTTGAATTAATCCCAGATGCTCTGGGCCTTGTTCAGGCACCTGGATTGAATTATTTTTATCATCTAATTTCCATTGCTTTTGGTTACTCTTTGTTTTTTCTTTTTCTTCTTATTATGAAAAACTTTAAACATTGCAGTTTAGTGAACACCCATGTGTCCACTGCACAGATTCAGCAGTTGTTAGCATGTCACCATGTTTGTTTCATGCATGTGCGTGTTTGTGTGTGTTCGGAATTATTGTGAGTAAATATCTGAGTGTATCTAAAATGTGTGTATTTATTTTCATTTTGCTAAACCATTTTCAAGTAAATTATAAAAGTTACGACATAACCTAAATACTTTATTACACATATCCAAAAATAAAGACATTTGTTATTCTGGATAACCACAATATCATCACACTTGACAAAATTAACACTAATAATATCAATTCTTTTCCAGTATCCAGTTGCTACTTTAATTTTTCCAGTTTTGCCACAAAAATTGTTCCTGTTTGTATCAGGCCAGAATCCAGTCAAGAAGCCCACTTTACATTGGTCCGTCTCTTGTTTCTCTTGATCTAGAACAGTGCCTTCCACCACCATCACTTTTCTTCCTTTAATGTTCAGGGCATTGACTTGAAGAAGAACCGGGGTCAGTTGTGTAACAGAATATCCCGCATTTCTGGATTTGTCTTGTTTCCATGGGACATTGCTTACCGTGTTCTTTTCTCACCCTGTCATTTCTGCAAACTCTAAGTTAGACGTAAGGCTCAATTAGATTTAAGTTCAATATTTGCTTTGTTTTTAAAGAGTCATAGATAGAGTGAACTAGGACAAGGAAGTATGCTTCAGCCCTTGGCTTTGCCATTGACCAGCTTCATGTGTTTGGACAAAATCCTTTTTTTCAGTGAGTCCTGGCTTCTCAACAAAAAAAGAGAAAATACTATCACCCACTTTATATGGGTGTTTTGAGGTTGTTTTGATTAAATGCAATAATGTCTGTGAAAATACTTTGGAAAGTAATGCACACGCTTGAGGTAAGCATGGAAGGATCAGCAACTACAGCCAGCGGAGGATTGTTTTTCCTTAGGGCTGTCTCAATTTTAAAGTGTGAGTTCTGAATCCCAGAAAATCCTTCAGTCCTGGGCAAACCCGGACAGCTGGTCATCCTACCTGCAGCTAATGTAAAGGCCTAGACTTCACCTAAAGTAGTAGTAGTATGAACTCACTGAACTGTGGCCACAAGTCCTTAGAATCTGACCTTGAGAATCTAGTCCTGAACTGCTATGACAGGTGGCAGTAGTGTTAATGCAGAACTGTGTTTTATCTGGACAGACGGGGACGCATTCCAAAGGAACTCAGACTGCAAAGGAAGAGATGGAAGTGGATCCAAAGCCTGACTTAGATTCAGATTCCTGGTGCCTCCTGGGAACAGATTCCTGTCGACCCAGCCTCTAGTCTCCTGAGCCTGTATAGCCTCCAGGAAACTGGGATCCAAAGAACTTCACTGCACACTTACTGAATGCAGAGAGCGCTTTCCTGGCTTTGTTCACTTGCAGACAAGGAGCGCAAGGCGGAGGCTCTGAAGAGTTTCCACATACACTTGGAGAGTGGGATTGCCTATTAGATAGGATCTAGGAGTGGCTTTGTTTTGGAGAATGGAAGGGCCCATGGCCCTGGCTTTGTCCTCAGTGACTGCCATAACAGTGCAGCTCGGTACCTCGTCTGGTGATCCCACCTTTGAAGAGGAGACACAATGCTCACCTTAATCTTGCTGGTAGCAGCTTATATCCCATTTATCATTTTCACCATTAATTGGAAGCTGCCTTGGGAATTCAACACCCGACATTGCACTTTGAGTGGAGGAGGGAAAGTGTCAAGCTGGAGTGGGCTGGAACCAGGCGTGGCTTGTCCAAGGTCATCCAGAGAAAGGTGAAGTGCTCTGAGCTCTCGTGGGAGCCCTGGGTCCAGGAAAGTACGTCTGGCGGAGTCAGTGTCTAGGGTTTGTTTTCAGAAAGTTCAGTTACATTGTGCTGCTCAGCGCTTGAGGAGGAGGAGTGGGCTTAGCTTGCTTTTCCTCTGAGGTTGGTTGAAATTTCTAGAGTGGGGAGTAGAGAAAGAAGGGCAGGTCCCTCCTCATCACACAGCTGGAGTGTCAGGCCGTGGCTGATGCAGGGTGGGCTTTCCTGGCCCTGGCAGATACCTCTCAGAGACAAGGTGGCTTGTGGAGAGTTCAGTCAGTGGAGCAGTAGGAACGGCGTGAGAGAAGACCGTGAGGGAGAGGAAGTCCTCCGTTAGCGGCCTCCTCGTGGTGTCTTTGGGAGGGCCTGGAGTGACTCTGAGTCTTCTGCCCTTGAGAAGGCTTCTTACACCACTTCTTTCATGGTTCTTAGGGTTCTGATCATGACGTCATCAGCCGCAACCACTCCCTATCTGTATGTCTAGTCAGTATTTTCTCCCCTTTGGTGTTTTATGAAGCCATATCAGTGAATCTGTATCATCTTTCCTTCTTGAGTGGCCCAAAGCCAGCCCTAAAACCTGGTAGTCCCTGAAGTCTAACAGAACAGATAGAACCTGCCAAGTGAAAGGAGCTGACAGAGCTCTCTCCTAATCCCGGAGTCATGTCCTTGTAAAGAGGAGCAAGCCAGCTTTCCCAAGAAAGTGCCCTGGAAGTGTTTGAGGATTTCACTGAAGGGCGTGAGCATTGTATTACTACAAAGGCTTATGGAAGGTTCCTGTGGTGTTTTGGGTCCCAGGAGCTGCCTCGATGAGTCTTCACACCTACCTTCCCAGAAACAGCTACATCACTTTTGTTTCATTTTCCCTAAACCAAAAAACGAATGCTTGATGTCTAATATTTTGGAAGGATCTGTGTGATGGAAATTTTGTCATTTCTCTAAAATGGGTGATGCAAAGGCTGATGCTCCGGGAAAACCCCATGGCTGGGGATGGGCAACTCTGTTCAATGGGATCTTTGGTTTGATGTTCCCATTGTTTTCTCAATTCTGGGAAGCCTAGTACAAAAGTACTAATGTAATCACTGAAGCCTTTTCTTAAAATAAGGGAAGGGGCCAACCCTGGATTTAGCTACAAATTCTGGGGACTTGGGGGTCTGCAATAAACCCTAACAATGGGTTTTGGTTCATCATGTAAATGCAACTTTGATTTTTTAAAGGACTGCCTGGCCTTTCACCTTCCTGTATTCCTCATGCTTACCATGTCAGTAGGCCTGAGAGGCAGGGTCAGTTTCGGTGTTAATCAAGAGTGTTGCTTCTGCTGTGGACCAGAGGAACACGGGACGTTGCCGAGACTGTGGGGTGGAAGTGAGCATTCATGACAGGGAGGGTGTGAGACCCTGCCCGTGTCCCAGCGAGGAGTTATTCTCCAGCAGTGGAATGCTGTGGTCATTTCTCTAACATGTTCCCTGGGGAAACCTAGGTTTGCTATGAATCTGGCTGAGAATCTAAGTTCTGTGCCTTAGAAACCATTTGCATTTTCCCAAATTGTGCCTGGGATAGCCACATGATTTTCCCCACCAAACAGTTATGCAAATAGAAACCAGTTCAAAGGTTGCAGCCGTGCATTAGATAAAAAGTGGAAGGTGAGGCAGCAGAAATGCCTTTGAATGGTTTCTGTGGCTAGTTCTCTACTTTTCTTCTCTGTGCCGTGCTAGGTGGTTCAAGTTCTCCAGTGGTAATGCTTTTGAGCTACAGTGTAGTCTGAGTCCCTCCTCTGCTCTGACCCTGTTGCTGAAGAACTAGCTTTTGTTCGCCAGATGTTTGCAAGGTTGAGGGTGGAGTGGTTTGGCATTTCTGTTTTAAATAAACATTTAAACTTTCAATACTGCTGTGCCTCAGTAAGTCTGTGCATGGACCCCGGTCCCCGCGGGTGCAACACTCCGACTCTGGGCCTTCATGAGTCTTTGAGTCAAAGGTCTGTAACAGACACTGCAAGGGACATTTGCCCAGAAATCACTTTTGCCTCTTTCCAGTTTCTTCTTGCTCTCAGAATCATTTCTGCTGCTACAGCTCCACTCCCCCTTCCCCAACCCAACTTCTGAAATATAGTGCTTAAAATGTAGAGGGAGAAAAAAAAAACGAGCCATTAAGAGGAAGGACCATCCTGTCTGGTGTGGCTCAGTGAACTGAGTGTCAGCCTGTGAACCAAAAGGGCATCCATTTCCTTCCCAGTCAGGGCACCTGCCTGGGTTGCCCACCAGGGGGGGCAGTTGGGGGCACACAAGAGGCAGCCAATCCATTATCTCTCCCACATTGATGTTTCTCTCTCTTTCTCCCTCCCCTGCCCTCTCTCTAAAGTAAGTAAATAAAATCTGTCAAAAATAAATAAGGGGAAGTATCACTTCTGGTACTTGTGTCCCCAATTACAGTGGGCTTTTTCAAGTGATAGTGCCTGTTTATGTTTATAAAAGTGTTTGTCCTCAAAGAGGCTGAACTCTACTTTGGTCGCCCTGGCATAGCATAGCCAAGTCACAACTTCTGTTGGCTGAACACTTCACTGAAGTTTAAAGCAAGAGCAGCCTTGTACTCACATTTCACTTGGTTTGCCATAGATTCGCAAACATTCATAATAGAACAACTCTGGAGCTAAGATGTGTTGTAAATAAATTCAAGTGAGTATCCCTGGGCCTAAAAAGTATTGTTCATGACAGCGTTAGGGCAGAATAGGCTGTAGTCAGGGCTACAGAATGTTTTCCTATCTGCGGTAAAGCCAGAAATCATTTGTTGCTTCAGTAATTAATGATGGATATAAACACACTGATCACTAAGCCTCACAGAATCATTCACATTAGGAAGTAAAACACTATCACATCTCTGCTACCTCCCGTGATAAACTGATGACAAAAAAAACTGTTGGCCAGGAGGTACTGTGCTGCCTAAAACACTCTTCTGTTAAGCAGCACTGTCTATCTTAGACATCTGTACACACTTTTACCTGTGTGGGTTACCATGAGGTTTTTCCTGCTGCTTAACCTTTTGAACTTTAAAATTTATAGCATTTACTTTCACTAGTTTCTTAGATGAAGCAGTATAACACATGGACTAACAAGCACTGTTTATTTCTCCACAGTCACCCTCTGCTCTCCAGGAAGAGACTTAGACACAAAAATGTTTCTAACCTCTTCCCAAAGATCAGACCAAGCTAAATTTAAAAGACTAATAGACATCGCTAATAAAACCAAGGCCTGAGCCTGTTGAGATTGAAGGAATTCTGAGACACTGTTTGATTTCCCTAGCAACATAAGAATGAGTAACTGCTTCCTGTGTCTATAGAAAGCACTCCTCAACACACTTGTTCTCCCTGGAGGGCCCTGATCTGTGTTCTTAGTAACAACATCCAGGGATCCCAAACTCAGTACAGGGTGGGGGTGAGGGGGCAGAACATGCAAATAAGTGAAGCAGGCCACCGGAGCTTGAGCTTGGTGATCAGAATGCTCTCCCCCCTCAAGAGCCACTGATTCTGAACCCCATTCATTCAGTGCTATGCATGGTTGCTGGCCTGGTGTTTCCAGAATTTCAGTTATTTAAGAGATGCTCCCTATCCCAATTTTTAAATGCCAGATAATATTTTTAGTGCCGTGCCAGCCAAATAAAACACCTGTGGGGTGAAGCAGTCCACAGGCTACCACTTAGGAATGCTGACCACAGCTCGTTCTTGCAATGAAATGTGAAAGAAAGCGTGCACCTTACTAAACTTGCCCAGGGATGCGTATATGGGATCACAATATCCAGTGTGGCCTTGGCTGGTGTGGCTCAGTGGATTGAGCACCAGCTTGCGAACCAAAGGTTTGATTCCCTATCAGGGCACATGCCTGGGAATTGCAGGCTGAGAGGCAACCCATCAATGTTTCTCTCACACATTGATGTTTCTGTACCTCCTTTCCACTCTCCCTAAAAGCATATAGTCTTAAAAGATATATCCAGTTGTCTATGTGAGGTTTCTTTTAAGTGGCAAACCAAAAGCCCTGTTATGTGAAACCTCTTTCTTTTCAACTAGAGCATAAAGCAACTCAATATATGCCGTCTTTAAAATACAAATTCTAGCCCAGGCCGAGGAGTTCAGTTGGTGAGAGCGTCACCCAACACGCCAAGGTTGCAGGTTCCATCTCCAGTCAGGGCATGTACAAGAACCAACCAATGAATGCACACAGAGACAAATCAATCTGCCTCTCTCTAAAATCAATAAATAAAAATATATAATTTTTTTCAGCCTGGTGTCCTGTAACTTCACAGCTGAAGCCTTAAACTCACGTTTCAAATTGGTCTGCTCTGTTAGTGCAGTCACTTGGCAGAAGCTGCCAAGGAGATGAAACTGGACTGAGTGGCCATCTGTTGTTGAGTAAAATACGGTTTTGTCGTCTGCCCAGTCCCCTTTGCCTAGGTCATGTTGGGTGATTTTTTTTTCCAGGATTTGAAAGTAGCCATTTGAGAAATGCTCTCAGGACAGTAACCTTACTAGTATTTCCTACGAGTAGGCCTGTTACACCAGCTTCATCCTTTCAGAACTGCTACTACCCCGACAGACATTACCTCATCACTGCTCCCACACAAGTCTGGGACTCTCTCACTTTATTATTTGGTTAATTTTAAATCCCTCAAACCCATTTACTGAGGGCCTAATAAAGGTTACTTGCACTAGGCATGATTCTGCAGAGAAAATTAAAAAGACCTGGCGCCTCTTCCTTCCAAGTGTCCTTTCTAGAATAGAAGGTAACTGGTATAATCAGCAGGGACATGTGACAGCTTTGATGGTACATTCTGCTGCCTCATTTAAAACACCAACCAATCTAGTTTGAGAGCAGTGCTAACAACAGCTGAAACTGAAGCTTCTCCCCCCTTTTTGACATTAGAAAAGAACAACTACAGAGACATACAGTGTGCTTTCCCCCACCCCTACCCTTTGCAGTAGACAAAGACGAGGTTCCCTTCATTGCACAGTGCAGCACAGGGAGGAGTTAGGATATATTGGCACTCTAACCTCACATGCTTGTATGGGCTTTTAGCCAGGACCGTGCACCAGGGAGGTCAAGGATGGACTTCCACTTGCCTCACAACAAAATCATATTATCTTGTACAAGAGATATCATCTGGGTGACCATGACCCTCTGAGACCAGCTCATCCTAATGAGCCAACTTCCTGCAAGAGCAGGAAGAGTTAACAGGAACCACAGACAAAGATGCAGAGGCAGTGGCAAGAAGGCAGAACAAATGCAGGCAATAAGCACAAACCACACGTGAGCCTGTAAGGCAGCTTTAATGGAGCCTGCTCGCTACTCGTGTGTCTTTGCCCATCAGTTCTTAGGGCACTAACATAAGACCCACTAGCCTGAGGTGGTAATTTAGTGGGGAGTGAGTTTGCCTTCTGCCTTCTGCCGCCTAGTGGGTTTCTCCTCACTGATTTCAGCTCTGGGCAGATCTGGGAGGTGTAAAAGTGTTAGTTCTTCCTGCTTTGCATCAAATTATTCTTTCACTTACTGCTGAAGAGAAGCAGAGCTTCCTCGAGCTGTCGAGGAGGTTTCCCACTGTTGTCTGCTCAACTGTAATGCTTTCGTGGAGGTGGAGGGCGGTTCTTAATGGTCTTACACTTGGGAATGTGCCGCTCAGCCACCTTGGGAGCAAAGTGACGGCTACAGTGAGGACACTGAATATAGTCTGGATTTTCTGCAGGTGGGATGGGAGGCAAGTCTGAGGCGTTTCCACCTTTGGCAATGACCTGCTGGACCTCTCGAGCCTGGCGGAGGGTACGGATGAAAGATTCATGCTTCTGTCTCCAGTTGCTCTTCCGGGGAGGTTCAGCCTGTAAGTAGAAGGAAGACCGATCATTCAACGTGGTGGACAACTCACCTCCTGAGTCTCCACTAGAATGAGAGTAAGGAAATAAAAGGGGTGCTAATCCACAAGGTCAAAGAGAGCAGGAAAGGATCTAGAGGGAAAACTGACTTGCCCGAGTGGAGACACGTAAACTAAGGGCCTGCGAAGGGGGATGAGTCCTGAGAGGCAAGCCGTTTCCCCAGCACAGACCTGAAGAGCCTCGGTGCCTGGAAGTGCCGGGCCCCCAGGGCGGCCACCCCACCTTGCCCACCCCGGTACCCTCACAGGACAACGGGGGTTTTTACTCTCTGGAGAAACTCAACCGGGCAGGTGTCAGACTCAGGAAATCCAGACACAGGGAAGGAAAGGGTTCATCTTGGGGCTGAAAACAGGGATTAAGTGCAAGTATATAAGATGAAATGTGTGTCAGCCTTCTTCCCTGGCTCGGCTCCCAGGTTACCAGGCACATGGGTACTTCTTAGAGGAGACTGAAGGGTTTTCAGGAGGCTCCGAGCAGGCAACAGAAAAGCCATTAGACACTGACTCTGGAGGACGCCAATTAAAAGGCTCACTATTTGAAAACCCTAATGTGAAGGTCTTTAGTCAAAAAGCTCCACTTAAGCTTAAATATAAATGGGCAGGCCAGTATTAACAGATGTTTGAGTAAGTTCCAACAAGAGAGAGACCAGCCCTGGCTGGTTTAGCTCAGTGGATTGAGCACGGGCCTGTGAACCAAAGGATCACGGTTTGATTCCCAGTCAGGGCACATGCCTGGGTTTCAGGCCAGTCCCCAGCAGGGGACCCACCAGAGGAAACCATACATTGATATTTCTCTCCTTCTCTCCCTCTCTCCTTCCCTTCCCCTCTAAAGATAAATAAATAAAATCTTAAAAAAAAAAAAAAAGACACACACCAAAACAAGTACACGAGCAAACGCACACACTTAGGAAACAACAAGGTAGGCAGCAGAAGAAAGCATTTTTTAAAATTTCTTTTTAGACAGAGGGGGAGGGAGGGAGAAAGAGAGGGAGGGAAACATGGCTCTGTTGGCTCTTGCACATCCCCCACCCAACCCAGGACCTGGCCCACAACCCAGGCATGTGCCCTGACCAGGAATCGAACCAGCAACCTTTGGGTTCTCAGGATGGTGCCCAACTCACTGAGCCATACCAGTCAGGGCACAACTTAGTTTTATGTTAACCAAAAATAAAGTCCTTTACCTTTAAGGTGTTTACACTGTAAATGGAGAAGAATTCCAAATTTAATTGTGTTTCATGTTTTTATTTAGAAAGTATACCAAAATTGAGCCTTGGCTAGTGCAGCTCAGTGGATTGAGTGCAGGTCTGTGCACTCAATCCCGAAGGATCCCTGGTTTGGTTCCCAGTCAGGGCACATGCCTGGGTTGCTGGCCAGGTCCCCAGTCGGGGGCACTCAAGAGGCAACCACACACTGATGTTTCTCTCCCTCTCTCCTTCCCTTCCCCTCTCTCTAAAAATAAATAAAACATTTTTAATTGTGTTTAAAAAAAGGAAGTATAGCAAAACTGAGCCAATCTTGAAAACACAGATGTGGTTACAGGAGTGATAACAGATTTTAATCTTGGGAGATGGCCAAGTACATTGCAAAGTGAAAGTAATTCTCTCGAAGTGGTGAAATACACAATAGTTTTTTTTATTAAAAAAAGTCTACAGTAAATGTTTATTATTTTTATAATCAAAAGGACATGTATTCTTTAGTCTAGATTTTGGAGTCATTCCAACCCAGATTTATACGCTGAATCTGCCATTTAAAGCTGTTGCTGTGCATCTCAAGCACATCAGAGGTTAAGCAAATTCACCTGTGAGACTTGACTTTTGAATTGATAAGAGATAATGAAATCTCACATGGTTGTAGTAAGGGCCATATGAAAAGCTCCCATCACAACAATAATAAATGTTTTCACTTTATGACACTTGAAATTTTTCTTTAAAAAACAAAAGGAAAAAACCTTATGAAGAATAACAGGCCCTTGCAATGATCCCCACTCAAAGTCAAAATCTATAAGGCCCTCATTACCTTGACTGATGCTGGTCCCTTCCAGTTCAAGTACTGTTCTAGTTCCGTGCCCTTGGCCCGGGCCCTGGAGGAGTCAAACACTTTCCTCTTGGAACCCTGCATCCTGCTGCAGACACTGGAGTGCCTCTCCAGCCTGAGGAGGAGGAACTTGCGTCCACAGTGACTGCACTCGCCGAGCTCTGGCTCTTCGGTGGAACAGCTGGAGCCCGTGGAGACTGGTGCCCTAGACGAGTTCGAGTTGCTGGGGCACCCTGGCAAAGCACTGCCTGGTGCCTGCGCAGGCTGAGAAAACTTCTCTTTTACCCGCTCTGAGACTCGGTCTTGGATTTTGTTATTGCTTGCCACTAGTCTTTCCCTTTTGAGCATCTGTATCCCATAATCAGAGAACAAGAATGGACTAGAATTTTCGTGAGACCGTCCCCAAGTTTCAACCTCTCCACTGTCTCTACCGAAGGCCTCCTTAGGCTCATATTCCTGGGAGAAGACCGGTTTGTGCAGGGCGATACTGTTACCTTGAACTCTCCTCCTGGGGAGTGTTGGTCTTTGTACCTCTTTTCTTCCATTTTCCTCAGTCTGTTCCTTTTCTTTCTGGATCCTTCTGAGTTCCTCCTCTGTCTTCTTCAGTTTTTCCCTCAGGAGGGTCTCCTTTCTTCGGATTTCCTCCTCTAAACTCTCCCCTGCAGCTTCTAGTCTTTGGATCTGCATCCACTCAGTCCTCTTGGGGTTTGCCATGGCCCTCTCCACCTGCGTGGCAGCAACAGTACCGACTATAGATGAGTTTGCCCAGTTCCTCAAACCAGAGCTGCTATGCAAAAACTCCCATGGCTCAGGGTGTCTAGGAGAGACATTCTGGTCCCAATCCATGCCACTCTCGCCTGTACTTCGAGACTTCCGATGGAACACAGGTTTCAGTGGGTATGCCCGGTCCACCCCAACTCGCTTCTTTGTAAAAGGGATGAATTCCTGGTTATTTGCTTTGGGATACCGGGATTGAGGGCCTGATGAGTAAAAGAAACCCTGTGCTTGACTCTGGAGATTGCTTCTTGGATCTGGCTGCCCGGTTCCAGCACAGTGTGGACAGAAGTAGCTCTGGACTTTGGTGCAGGTATGCCATCGGGACTGAGTGTGCAGATTACCAAGCACTGGCTCTTTGTTGCTCAAAAGTTTCTCCTGGGAATTGCTCCTCAGGTGCGCCATGGAGGACAGCGGGGAAGAGTCCGTTTTTTCATAGTGGTTAGTTGAGTGGAACTCTGGAGCTTCCGTTTTTTTATATGGCAGCATAATGCCCACAGGCAGAGGTGGCGCCAAATGGAGACCAGCCATTCAGGGCCTGGACTGAAGCCTAGGGGGGATTTAAACCAGATATATGTGAGAAGTTTGTCTGAGATTCCCCCTGGGTGCTAAGGCAGTTTCTACATTTGTCCTACCTACATTTTCCTTTAAACTTTTAAAAAAATGTTTATTTGTTTTTAGAGAGAGGGGGAGGGAAGGAGGAAGAGGGAGAGAAACATCAATGTGTGGTTGCTTCCCACATGGCCCTCACTGGGGACCTGGCTGGAAACCTAGGCATGTGCCCTGACTGGGAATCGGACCTGCGACCCTTTGATTCACAGCCCACACTCTATCCACTGAGCTACACCAGCCAGGGCTCCTTTAAACTTTTTAGGGACAGTATGCTAGATCTGCTAGAACTTTCTTTCAATAAGCATTTGATGAGTGCTTATTAGGTCCTGTGAGCGTTTGTTAGGTCCTGAGGTTAGAAAACCGAATGTGACACAGGTGTTCCTGCCTAAGCCCGTACCAGCCTCCTCTGTACCTAGTGATGCTGCTCCCACACGCAGTGCACCCTGTAACAGGTGGAAGGAGCTACTGAAAAGAGCTATTGGATTGAAAGTCAGGTTTTATTAGTCTTCTGACACAGGACAAGCAACTTGCTCTTGCTGGCTCCAGTTTCTTCTCCCATAAATCGAGGGGTTCGCTCAGAGTTACGTTACAGTAATTTAGGGATATTAGGACTCCAAGATCATTTTACAGGTGAGAAAATTGTGGCCCAGACGTAAGCACCTGGCACACAGAGCTCTCTCAGGGCTTCCCGCCTGCTGGACCCGAGCTTGACTCCCAGGAGCAAAGAGGCCACCCAGGCCCTGCAGCAGGTGCTGGCTGTCAAACCTTCACCCAAGGAGTAGGAAGGAGTCCCCGCCGCAAGACTGCGGGAGGTTTGTAACCTGACAAGCGGGGCCACCTGACCTGACTGCCAAGCGTTTTGGATCCGAAACACGGAAGTCACATTCTGTCTGTCTTGGAGGGTCAGCCGGGGGCGCCCCCACTGGGGACTCCGCTTTGGAGACAAGCCTTCACTCTTTTGTCCACCGGGCCCTTGGGAGGTCGAGGTGCTGACCCCATGACTCCCTGCCCTTCCGCATACCTGAGGCTCTCAGGGTCAATTGCTCAGGACTTAAGTTTTCCGGACCAAACCCCCGGCACTCAACTGCCGGCCGCGCAGGCGCTCTCAGCTAGACCCTGTTATTCCCGTTGCCTGGAGACGGGAGCGCACGCGCGCCCAGCCCCGCCTTTCGCAGCTAATGCCCGAGAGAGGGTGGAGGGCGTGGTGGAATCACGCACAGGCGCAGTCCTAACGCGAATGGGAGCAGCCGGGCAGGGGCTTAAGCCGGTCGGTTTAAGTGTCACTTGACCCGGAATCTGGCCAACTGTGCAGCTCCGTCCAACCTTGCCCTTGGGGAAGGCTTTTGTGGGGCTCCATCAAAGAACTTGTGTTTTTCTGAGAACGACGACCCAAGACCCGGGGCATGTCCTTCTCTGGCAGAGAAAGGAGCCCCTTAGCTGTGCCCTGGAGTCATTGTGTCGCAGGACGCCGAGGTCCGCCCACTTAGTGGGAGTGGGCCTGCTGATAGCCTTTCTTGGCAGTGTGGTACGGGCCCCAGGTATGGCTATATATTATCTCTCCGTGCTTTTTCTCGCCAATGGTTTGGACTTCGCGGTCAGATTTTAACAACTTGGCGAGGTTTTGCTACGCAGTGTCTTTCTGGAGTAGTTTTGTAGCCAATCTAATTATTTTGACTTAGTGTTTTATTCTCACGTGGTTACTCTGTCCGTCTCTTAGGGCCGAAGAATGACTCAACCAAATGTAATGCTAATAAAGTTAACTATCAGATGGAAAATAATCAGTATAACCTGGTTTCGACACTAAATGATATTCTATGACTTGTTAACATCAGAAGAGGTTATTTTCCCCATGCTTCAGTTCATTTGTGTAAGCTGTTTGGAACAAGCAATTGGTTATTTTCCCTGTGACTACTTAAAAGATTCATGTGCACGGAAAATAATATAGACAGCAGTAGTCGGTGTTAATACTTCAACATCTCATATTACAGCTTTTACATATTACAAAGAAACCCTTGGTGAGTCTTCCAGAGTATTTTTTATTTAATTCCTTGTTTTCTTTCCCAGTTGACTCTCTCCTGCCTGCTCTAGTATTGTGGGAGTTCCAGACATTTCCCACTGTTAAGGTTCCAATTACCTCAGCAATCGCCTGCCTGTCAACCACATTCTGCCTTCCAGCCTGGCAGAATTTCCTAGGGTGCCTCCCTCCATCTTGACTTCCTTTCTTCTTGTATTTTAAAACTAATTAATTGATGTATTTATTCGGTCCTCACCCGAGGACATTTTTTCCACCGTTTGTTTATTCGGGGGTGGGGGGGACACTGATGTGAGAGAAGTACGGATGGACTGCCCCTTCTTGCACACTGGAAGGGTGGGTCGAACTTGCAACCTGGGTACCTGCCCTGACCCAGAATCTAACCTGCCACCTTCTGGTTTACAGGATGACGTTCAACCAACTGATCCACACCAGCCAGGGCCCTTCCTTCTTGTTTTCAAGGAGGAAGAATCTTTCCCTTTCCATGAGTTCCAATCTTGAATTAGTCCCTTTCAGGAATGGACACCACCTTGTTTTGTATCTACCAACATATTCCTTCTCTTTGGTTTTAAAATACAGGGGTGGGCAAAAGTGAGTTTACAGTTGTGAGTATGCAAAACAGAGTTTATTCCCGTTATTTACTAATTGTTGTATTATTTATTTGTATTACAACTGTGTCGGGGAACTCAAATGTTGGAAAATTTTTAGTTTCAGGTAATAGCTAATAAGCTTAGTAACCAAAGCAGGTAAAAAGCTGTTGATTCAGGAACTGAAGGTATGACCCACCCTGACTCCAGAAGGCCATAAGCAGCTCCACCTTTGTGCCTCAGGAGGACTGCAACTCAAGATGGTATCTGAGCCATTGTGCTCCAGGGTGAGGTGACCACCGCCCAGGGCACAGATGAAAGAATGCTGCAGCTTTGTATCTGATTAACTTTTTCCCTGAATTCCACCCCCCCCCACCTACACTTTTCTTCTCCTTATAAAAAGGGTTGGTCTAAAATGGGATCAAAGATGGTCTATCAGGGTACAAACCCCTGTCTTCTCAGATCACCGACCACCTGAATAAAGTGCTGGTGAAGATTCAATCCCTGCCTCTGCTTATGGGGTCTGGTAGGTGATAGGCAGCATCTACACCAGCTTTTCCAGTTTGTTTCAAACCTACTTTTGCCTACTCCTGTATGCGTTAGTTCCCCTAAAAAACAAAACTTTTTTCCCTTGACCTTCCACCTCTTATCTTAGGGTTCCATTCATTCCTCTTCTTCTCCAAAAGAATTTTGGTAGAAGACTTTACATTTGCTGCCCCCCACTTCCTCAGTGGGTTGTGGTGGGCTTCCATGCTTCTCACGTTACTTAAGTGCCAGGCTACGGGTGACCTTTCAATAACCAAAGACAAAAGCTGCTGCTTCTCAACTTACGTATTTGATTTTATTGATCTTTCATTCCCTGGAACTGTCCTCTCATTTGTTCCTCTGCCTCCTTGGTTTCTTCCGTCATGTCCTTGCCCTTGTCTTCTTCCAGGCCTCTGTCATTTGTCTTTTCTTCACCTGTTCCCCACCCCAAGTTTAAGTGTTCTCCTGAGCCCTCTTATTTCTCATGTATGTGCAGGTCCAGACATTCTCTTCCTTAATGGTCTCAACAAAATGCTGAAATTTCAGGTGTCACCTGTGTTTAAATGATATCCAGCTTCTCTCTCAATTACAGACTCAAATTTCCAGCTTCCCATTTCGTTCCTCAGGAACCTCAAACTCAGTACGACAGAAAACAAACTTGTCCCCATTCTCCCAGTCTACTTCTCCAGTATTCCCTCTCATGATGAAAGTATCAGTCACCTTCTGTTCCTCCTTCCTTATCACCCCTTTCCTCTAACTGGTCAGCAGGCCGTGCGGAATTTACTCTGCAAAGTCTCGTATGTGAGTCTTCCTTTACAGTACTAGGTGAGTTCTTCCTCACTTCTCATCAGGACGGCATGCATCCCTGTCCTAACTGCTATTCTTGTCTTCAGCATTTGCTGGCCCAAGTGTTACAGAACACAGGGGGGGCAATTATACTATTACCAACAGGACCCCCACTAGGTTTGATTGTCTCCTGCCTTAGGAAAGAAGTCTCTCAATGCCAGAGATTTGTGAAAAGGAAAGGAAATGTTTATTTAAAGCTATACAGACTTAAAGTAGTGACCTAATGTCTTCATTAAAATATCAAAGTCCTTTTTGGATACCCACAAACACCCGCAGTGCTTCCTTCTCCCTCTGCCCTGATTTGAGGTACCGTATCTCGGGAAAAGAAGTAGGCATCCGTGATTCAGGTTGCCGACACCGTCAGCGGTGTCCCGTCCAGGCAGGATCTCTAATTAAACCAAAGCCATGTGGCACCTTCTCATGGCCTATTGGCAAGAAGAGTTCTTTCACCCTTCTTCCAGGCAAAGTCTCTGCTGCTTTCCAGGCCACCTGGCCAAAGGTACCACCCCAAAGCTGCATGGTCCCCACTCTGGTCAAAACCGCATAGTTCTCTCCACCAGAGCTGCAGGGAGGGGGGTCACCACGTTGCCAAAGCCGAGTGGTGGTTCTCTGCTAAAGCCGCATGGTGATTCTCTCCACCCAAGCCACATGGTTTTCTCTTCTCACATGGCTGCGGGGGTCCCCACTCTGCCAGAAGTGTGTGACTTTCTTCTCTCACATGGCTGCAGGGGTCTGTGCTCCAGCAAAACCACATGCATCTCTCCTTGGCAAAGCTGTGGGAAGCGGGGGTCGCCACTTCCTATGTACCCCCATTTCGGACTCCTCCTACCAGCAGTTACACCTGCCAGCATTCGTATATTATTCCAAGATTACTGGGCTGCCATCATGAGTCTGGGCAGGTGTGTCCCCATGTCATGAAGCCAATCTTCTCCAAGCTCTCATACAGGTGCTGTCACCTGGGGGACCTGCCCCCAGTTACATCTTGTGGGGAAGTTCCTTTCCATCCCCCCCCCTCAGAGCATGGCCACAGCTATTTAACATATCTATGCAGCCAGTTAAAGGTTATAGATACGTTAAATGACCATGCCCTGGATTAGCTGCAAGGCTGTGGCTGTACAAAACAGCCCTGCATGTTCCTGCTCCATGTGTCCCTTCCCCCTACTCACACCTGAGGGGGAAGGGGTGAGGACATCTTATATGTTTTCCTAATATTTCCTGGATACCCTAAGTTCTGGGCTCCATTCCAAATCCCTGTTTGGGGCCCCCCTCTTGGCTGCAGCCTGTATCGCAAGCCTATCCTTTATGCTGCTGCCAGAGTAATTATCCTAAATATGCCAGAACCTATCATTTTCCTACCTAGTGGCTTCTACTTCACCTATAGAATAAAGTTGAGATGTGTAATTTTAACCTGGCATTTCAACCTCCAGCCTACCTTTGAAGCCCTTTCTCCCCAGAGTCTAGTCCAGTGGATTTCAACCCTAGCTGTGGATTTCAGAATTATCTGAAAAGCAATTTTGGGGGATGAGACCTGGGTATCAGCCTTTTTAAAAGCTCCCCCAGCCCTGGCTGGTATAGTTCAGTGGATTGAGCACAGGCCTGTGAAGCAAAGGGCCACTGGTTCGATTCCCAGTCAGGGCACACGTCTGGATTGCAGGCCAGGTCCCCAGTGCGGGACACGGGACACATGAGAGGCAACCACACATTAATGTTTCTTTCCCATTCTTTCTCCTTCCTGTCCCCTCTCTCTAAAAATAAATAAATAAAATATTTTAACAAACAAAAAAAAAGCTCCCTGATGTTCAGCCAGGACTGAGAACCCCTGGTCTAGCTACATCTGACTTCTTGTACTTTCTTACCTCAGTGGTACTGCCTTACCCGAGGTCCACAGACTGGGAGGTGGTAGAGCAGAGCATTTATGGCAGTGGACTCTGTACTTAGACT